CACCTCTGGCTTCTTTTGTTGGACAGTCACGAATAAAGTGTTGTGTACTGCCACATCGATGGCACTTGTAGCCCCCTTTATTTCTCTTCAGAGTCATCACTAGGCTTCCTTACATGGAGGCTTCTTTTCCCCTTGGTTTCTCTTCCGTCCCAAGATTTGTCTCAATCAGACAGTTGGTGCGAAGATCGACTGTTGAGAGGGGAACAGCCCAGATCAGAAGTAAAGGGCACGAAGTATGGGTTGAGTATGTAAGGAAGAAGAAGGAGAGACAATGGGTAAGTAGGCTTGGAACCAGCTATCCTTGAAAGATTACGTAGAAGTTCACCTGAATGACTATCGGACACCAAAAATATAGGTGGTTAAACCCAACGAGACACAACCTGCATTTGTGGGTTGTGTTTCACCCCGAAACTCTGAAGAGGAGAGAAATCAACCAAGGTAGTCGAACGGACTGTATTGATAATTAAGGCGATCGAGAGCCGGAATCAGTAGTGATGATGTGAATATGAGTAACGCTTCAGTGTGTGACGAGGGCAAATATGAAAACAACGATTTGTTAAAGAAATCCCACCGCAGTGGAATTCAAGCCATTGAACACAGCCCAAGGATTCCGATTTGATGAGAATCATAATTGGGTGGGACGGCCCCTAAGATATAATCGAGGGGTACCTCTGTAATAATAACGGGGGTGAACCTGGAGCCACATAAGAAACAACCAATCATCGATTGGGCGTGGGCCATCTCCTTCCATTTTGCCTCTTCAAGCGAGCTTTAAACACCAACTCCTCGAAATTCCCTTCTACAGCAAATTGATTAGAGATAGCTAACACTCTTCCCTAATAATTCTGCTTCTGGAGTCACATGATAGGTTGGGGGATATGCTTCATAGAATAACTTCCTCAACTCCTAAGCATACTCATCAACTGACTCGTTCAAACCTTGTCTCCCCCGATGAAACATACTGCTGTCAGTCGAAAAGGTTTAGCAAGAGCTGGTTTAAGAGCATCATAGCTCCTCTTCTCAGACTCACTGTAAGACTTGTACTTGTAGAAGAATCTAGCGGGACCTGTGTTAACTTTTTATGGTCGTCACATCTACAACAGACTCCCATTTCCTCGAGGCGGTCAACCCATTCCTCAGACGAGTCTTCTTCAGCATCCTCCGTCGCTCCTTTAAAGTGCGGCAGCACTGGTAACTGTTGAGCATCATGAATGGGGAAAACAGATCCTTCTGCCGCTCCCTCGGTCCCTGCATATGTCCCTGTCTCCAGAGATCGACGTCTCCACTGTGTCCGTTCATCCATGCATAGATACTAGTAGTATCTATGGTTCATCGGTACCTCAGTCCAGCGTAGACATATCTATGGTTCCTTCGCCTCCAGCTCGCTCTTCTCTTCAAGCCATTGAGCTTCCCTGGCCTCCCACTTCTGTTTCTCTAGTTCAACGGCCTGCAGCCGTTGTGCTTAGGCAATTCCCCCCGACGGTAGCTCAGACCATAGATCTCAGACACGACAATCCACTTTCCATCGCTCTTCTTCCGCGACGTCAGATCTTTTTTCCAGAGCTTCCATTTCTCCCGCTGATTCACTTCCAGCACCACTCTCCGCCAGAAGTTTCAACTGCTCCTTCTCTTCTTGGGCAGCTCTCAGCTTCTTCTCCAACATGCAGTGGTTGAGAATCTGGGGGGCAAGGGGGACTGAGCCTCCAGTTTTGATGAAGGGGCAGAGCCCCCCACTTTTGCTGCATCCTGCATGCAGATTTTCTAGGCGCAGGAGGGGCACTGCCCTCACTTTTAATTACTCATGTTATTAGAGGATGTTATTAATTTAGCTAGCTTATTAGTGTTATAGCAGCTGCCTCAATTCATTGCTTCTTATTACTTATTACATAAGTAAATTACTGATAACTTCGATTTTGCTAAGGAGTTTATTAGTATAACTGATGAAAATGAGCCTCTCACTTTTAGATTGGTGTCTCAACCCCTGACATGAAGATGGTCTGCTTCATCTTTGCCAGGACACCGACTAAGCCAGCCCACCATGGACTCATCAGTGATCAGCTCCAGTATGATTCAAGCCTGATGTCTATTTTGATACCGCCCTGACTGGCATCAATGTTGAATCATGCCTGTTCAGCCAGATCTGGCTAAACCAGGGCTGTACTCCAGCATGGTTGTGTCATGGATGGTTATGCATGATTGTATTATACTAGACTCATTGCTTTGCAGGCTACCCAAAATCCATGATACAGGAATGTATCAAGGCTGATCCTATTGATATCAGTCATGATTCAAAGTAAAATTCTTGGCTGTGTATGTAGTTTAGACTCGAGTTTGGATTCATCTTATTCTCTTCCCGACTTCCGCAATGACTGTCAGCATACCTGGGGTGACCCTTGTAAAAAATCCCAGCAAGATCTTATAAGGTTTTTCATGATTTCACATAATTATACAAGAAAACATAAGATAGTAATCTTGTAAAATCTTAACACAGAAATTCTTACAAATTCTTATTTAAGATTTGATAAGATTTGAATAGTTTTGTCAGATCTTGTGAGATCTATCATAACTATAATTCTTGTAAGAATTTGAAAGATCTTAACAATAAGGAATATTTCAGAAAATGTAAGATCATGCCTCACTTAAATCTTGTAGTATCACACCTTTTAAGAGCTAAGATGATCTTGTTAAATTGAAATCTAATACGATCTTACAAAATCTAATAAGTTTATGATCTTGAAGAATCATCCATAATCACACGACACTTAAGATCACTCATTAAGTCATAAAAGATCTTGAAAGATCTTACAAATTGCATGATGTCACAAGAAGTGGTAGACAACCCACAGTAGCCTTTACAATTGTAAAGGCTATCGTGGGTTGTCAATTAAGAAAGTAAAATTTCAACATAATTAAGTCAAAAAGTTAATGAAGTGCACATTAACCTTCACATCATTAAGTAATTCATTAATGCAATGTAAGATCTTGCTCAGATCTTACTGTTACATCCATTTTTCATAAGCTTAAACTTCACGCAAGAACTCAGCTAATATTTTAAAATCTTGATAAAGAAAGATCTCATGATATCTTTCATGTTCTTTTTTTCAAAATCAGGTAAGATCTTGCTGTGATCTTCTAAAAATTTGGTAAGATCTTGAGAAAGATCTTGTAAGATCTTGCTTACATTTTGATAGCAAGATCTAACGCTATCTTACATGATCCTTGTTTCAAAATCAGGTAAAATCTTGTGAAATATTAGCAAGAATCTTGTAAAGAATTTTAAAGAAACTTAACAAGATCTTGCTGGAATTTTTCACAAGGGGACTCCCTCCTCTCTCATATTCAGTCTCAATTAGGCTACACCTTGAGACTGCCGGGATAGGATTAATTAGTTAGTATTTCAAAACATCATGGCCCATCATGGGTCATGACGTTTCTTCAAAATTATGTTCAAAAGCCCATGTTTTCTATCCAAAAAATGGCTCAAAAACCACTCCTAATTTTTAAATACATTTTTTGTAATACGTACATATTGATGTACTTAAGACATACAGATGGTTTGAGCAGATTCCAACTTAGATTTTTTGAGTTATGACAATGTTTAAAAATGGGCCATGCAGTTTTTGAAAAAATCTCTGTACATTGCCCATGATTAAAAAAAAATGGCTCAAAAATTATCCCCAATTTTTGTTACATTTCTTTTACATATTGATGTACTTATACTATGCAGAAAGTTTGGGCAAATTTCTATTAATTTTAGGAGTTACAGTCTTTTGAGAATGTTGTTCATCTTTTGCTAAAATGATATAGACATCGAGTCATTTTTATTTGATCAAATGTAAAAAAACAACAAAAATAATAATGATGATGATGATGATGATAATAAAACTGCCAAAGCTCAAAAAGATAATGCAACCACAATTGGATCTAAAATAATATCACCAATAGCTGAAGAGGGGAGAAAGCTTACAAGCCACATATACACACTTTGCCACTAAATGTACTCAATCTTCATCCTCTTTGTCTCCTGGAACATCATACAATGACCCAATACCATATACAGCAACACTATAAATCCTAAAAATGAACATACACATAAGCCATATGCGGAATGCAAGACAACTTATTGGTTACTGTAGTATTGGTTTTATGCAACAGACCTTTTGCTTTCTGTCATTTTAAATCCTGCTCTTTCTTCAGTTGTCATCTCCTTCAATTGTTCTCTATTGTCTCTAAAAATAACAGTATAATTATTATGAGAGCATATTTATTATAGTGTACTTGTAATAAATGACATCTCCATCAGCATCATACAGTGATGCTTAATTCCATTCCATCTCATTCTCAATATCAAGACGTGATATCTCAACTGGAAATGATCTCAAATACTTTAAAAGGAAAAATAACTGGCTGATAGTGAAATGTCAATGGCTGAACTGTTGCAACAGAAATGGCATCAACAGGAACTCCGCTTAACTCTGAAAGCTAAAGGAAAGAGTCACATAGCATTATTTTATTATACATTCACCTTTTTTTAAGATCTAAGGGACTTATAGTTATAGGTGTGTCTAGAATAACTTCTTCTGTTGGATCAACTGAAAATTCTGATGGACACCATCTTCTAACATACACCTGCATCTGTGTTGGGATGAGCTTCATCTTTTCAGTTTCTATTAGAGTATGAGAATAATACCCTCAGTATTAAAAATACTGACCTTTCAATATTTCCATATAGTCTACATTTCACTACCAACATATATATGAATATCTCTCAATCAACTGATGATCAAGATACACTCTACAAGCAGGTGACCTCCAATTCTTCTTGTGTGATCTCTTTTTACACAATAAGTCAAATGATAGTCACATGATAGCCACATGATGTACTTACTTGTCTAATTTAAGGACACAGTCAATTCTTTGTACTCTTGCTTCTTCCATAATTTTGTTTCTTAAATTCTCTCACTGATGTATTCTTAGCAAATAGCAACAATAGACTCCATCATTAGATTATAAAGAACTGAATTAAAATGGGAACAAAATTATATTTATATCATTATAGCAAAATTGCTATTTGCATAACCTCTGTATTGTTAACATGTAATAAAAATAATTTAATTCTGTACTCTCATACTTGTAATGCCCCAGCTAGTCTTACTACAAATTATAAGGAAGAAAAAAGATCATGCATGATTGAGTGAAGTAGAATAATTACTTTTGATTCAGTAGGTACATGCATGTCCATTAATGAGTCAGTATTTCATATTTCTGCTGATCATATACACCCTATACGCTCAGTAGGTAGTTTTCCAAATTGCAAGACTAATATTGCTAATAAGGGGCATTGGACGCCTTTTCATATTCTGGCAAAATTGAATCCCAGAATGTTTGATAATTATTGTGTAAAGATAAAATAATCAAGTTGAATGTTTCTGACACTAATGGTAATACACCACTACATATTCTTTGTTATTGTCAATTAAAACAGAACATAATATTGTGGGAACATTTATTACATGGACATGATAAGTGATAGGTACATGCATGGGTGGTCTACATTAAAAGAGCTGAGAAAATGATTCCATAGAAACTTTTTCACCTTCATACAGTTTGTAGTGGGAGATAGACTTAGACTAAATCAAATGATGGCAGCCCATTCCAAAGTCTAGGGAGCCTATGGAAGTAGGAGCCAGAATTAAGTTTGAGAGGATGGAGTGAGCCTGTGATGCAACTTGTGATGATAGCCAGTTCTTGAGCTTGCTCGACTAAAGGAGTTATAACTAAGAATATTGAATGAGCCAGTGTAGTTAGGATTAGAGCTATCATGAAGGCTGTGAAGAGCAAAGGAAATATCCAGATATTCAGAGAACATAGCCAGGAAGGAGATTAAGAGGGATCAGGCAAGATTTGTAATCAGAGGTATAATCAGATAATATGTATTTAATAGCTCTTCTCTGGACTCTTTCCATTACACAAAAGTTGGAGATACTGGTCGGACGCCAAACTTGAACTCTGTAAGTCAAGTGGAAAGATACATAAAGCTTTCTCTTGACACTAACACTCAAAAGTAGTGATGATAAGACTACAGATGAGGCTACACTTTTATTTAGTAAGTGTTGGAAAGATTTTAGTAAATCACGTTTCTTTTGATCCAAATATTAAAGATGCCTGTGGTATGAACCCGTTCCACTATTGCAGTAAGTAGCAGCTGCCTGAAAACCTGAATAGTCAACATCTTTTGATTGGGACAAGATAGACTGGTCTAAATTCAGTCCTGAGGAGAGACACAGGCTTGATGTACATGTAGTTCAGTGGTTGTATTATGAATAAATTAAATTTAATACATTAATTACTCAGATCATGCATAATAATTATGCACAATCAATAATGTATGATATTACATAAAACTTAAATCTCACACAATTAATTCAGACACAAAAATTTCCTAACTAGCCCATTAATTACCAGATACAAAAATGTACATGGTTATAATGACCAAAAATTGTAGTAAAGATAAGTCTAAGGATTAAAACATAGAAAGAAGTACAGATCATGACCTCATGCATGCTGAAATGATATTAATATTGTTTGCGTCTATTAGGGTAGCACAAGTACTCTTCTTGTGGAGAATAAAGCATAGGAAATCCTACCAGGTAGACACACATACATGTACATGTATATGTGTTGGTTATAATAAGGTATAAAGGACTTAATTGTAATAGTGCGTATAAATGCACATTTTATACAAGTGAGCTAGTTCCTCCATAACTATTGCTTATACTGTCTCATCAGCATGACTGAGAATGTGGCCTTCTATAGTATATAACATTGATATTTGTCATTTCTCTCCTCCTCCTTTCTCTCTTAGGCCATTAGATCTACTTGTGGATAATTTGATTCTATTTGACGTGCGTTTGGTTGAGTTTCTGGAGGATGATAATCGCATGGTCAATATTCTCTGTTATAACATTATTTGTAATGTTTAAGGCTACTATAGAAAGAAGCTTCATGTCAATGCTCCAAGGTTAGTTCAATTATCCCAATTTCTATAAAAAATCCCTGCATTGTAGGCCATGGTTTTATCTGAAAAATTGCTCCAGAATCATCTCCAATTTTTATTACATTTTCTGATATGTATTGGTGTACTTATGCTGTGTAGAAAGTTTGAGCTGACTCCAACTTCAATTTTTCAAATTACAGCCATTTTAAGAAAATGGCAAAATTTTCCAAAAAATGGCTGCAAAATCACCCCCAATTTTTCTTACATTTTCTGATACATATTGATGTACTTATGCTGTGTAGAAAGTTTGAGCTGATTCCGACTTCAATTTTCAAGTTATGACCATTTTAAAATTGTCAAATTTTAGTATTAACAGCTGGTAGGTGTACACTATAGTCCATTGGTTGTTCCTCTTCTTTCTCTCTCTCCTGTTGTAGGATAGTGTATAGGTTGTTCTTATGAATACATCAAGCTAGTTATGCTCTAGGTTTTATTGGGTATTATTTTAGTGTTATTACTAGTGTTCACTGGACTGGGACTATTGCTATCAGTTAATCCTGACATTATAATTGAGACTGGTGTGACACGGTGTTTTATGGAGTGTACTATGATGTAATAGGATGAAACTGCACTGAGTGCTGACTGCTGATGTCTGTCTGGACTACATGTCAGCAACCATGACAGTAAGAAGACAGATACTAAGGTATGCTCAGCAATTGAATGAGTTTGAATAACTAAACTAATGAGCTGCTGATTGTGAGTAAAATACCGTAATTTGCCTTTTTTTCGTACAAAAATTTTTCGTTTCAGAAAAATTCAAGTGGAAATATTTTCGTCTTCTCATAGTGTACGAAAATTTTTACAGTCTGAAAATTTAGCTTCTCTTGCATATACCTTGTCCTTTACCTGCTGGTAACAAGGCCGCTATAGTAGTGTTTATAATTCTTTGAGATAAGAGATTCTTCAGTGACCTGGCTGTTCCCCGACATTACTAGTATACGGATAGTACTGGAGATGCAACAATGACCAATTTACGGATAATAAACGGAAACATTAAATGGCTACTTTTATCACATGGTGGACCGTTTTATTTTATAACTCAGTAGTGAAGCAACTGATTGAAGTAGAGCAAGCACCAGTGGATAGAGCAAAGTTAGAGCTGCAAGAAGATACCTACTTATCAGGCCTTACCTTAGTCTTTCTTTGATGAATTAGGTCACAAATTTTGGTTGCTCAAAAATTTTCGATTGAAATATTTTCGTCATTTTAGGACCATACGAAAATTTTTCCACAACGAAAAAAAGGCAAATTACGGTAATCTGATTGGTCCATTGCAACATACAGCTACACGTAGCTAGGCTGTGCCTGAGTTATTGACTTATTGTAATGAAGAAGTTAGGTGCTTATGAATGGGACATAGCTATACATGTACTAACCTGTCTATTCTAGCCACTCATCATTCACTTGATTCATTGCACCTTCAATGCCTTTTATGGCTAATAATTGTGTGTTTTAATAAGTATGGCCATTTAAATGATACTGCATTGTAATGCAGTGTTAGTGAGAAAGAATGCAATGAAGTAACATTAGTAGCTACACATCAGAAAGTTTACATTGTTTATATTGATACAAGTATAGCTGAGATGTTCTCCTCAAATGTTGTTATGTACTTGTACATGTAATCAGTCTATCTTCTTAAATTTAGATTCCTTACATAATACCATTTACACCTTGTTTTGACATTGTCATGCCATCGTGTGAATAGTCCATTAATTTTACTCCAACTATCATATCTTAATTTACTCTAGCATTAAATTCTTTGTTTAACACCATTTATGGTTTGTGCCTCATACATATATGTTCACTGAAGTGTTGGAAATATTTGTGACATGACAATTATAATTGATGGGAATTGTGTTGGTGCGGTCATCCTAGTGAGTCTATATATAAGCCAGTATATATCTGAAGCATCACTGGGGGAGTTTATGAGCTAAGAGGATGGCTGATGATGTTACTCTTCAGATTGAAGTGAGTTGCATCGTTAATGCTTAAGCTTTAGCTTATATACTAATAGTCAACGTGTTGCTATATAAAATCTTGTATATAAGCAAAATTTTGCCAAAAAGTCATTAAGCTGTGGTTCTTTTTCTGGTAACATGTTGCATGCAAGATCAAAGCAACCATTATAGCAACAAGTTCTGCCTCCCATTATGCAGTGTATGTACATGTACAGTGCAATAGAAATATGTCGCCAGTAAAGACTCCCCAATTAGACTTTCTTGAATGCATATGCAAAAGGAGATTACGCTACACACCCTTTGGATATATGCCCTTGACATTATCATATGCTCCTTTCCCTCACTCTTCTTTTGCTCTTCTATTTATCTCTATCTCTCTTTTCCATAATAGCTTCCGAGTGGTGGCTCTGAAGTCATTGCTGGTCAGTTGAAAACAGGATACTTTGTGTATTTATTGATATCATATTTATGTATATAGCTGAGGTTGGTGCTACTACTTCTTTTGATTGCTTGGTTTTAAATATTTCTTCTACCCAAGACTTTCCTGATATAGGTAAATTTTATGATAATTTTGTTTTCATTATGAATGATGTGTCAAGTTTTTATGAGAAATATACATGTAGTATTACATGGTCTGCATTCATGCATACTGTTTGTAATTCACTGATCAAATCAGTTAAGTTACTGTGCAGGAGGGAATATAGTAATAGTAATTAAAAATTAAACCCACAAATTAAACCCTAAATTAACATGTTCTTTTGATTCTATAGATGAAAATGGTTGCTTAACACTTCACAAAGCTTGTAAGGATAGTAGCTATGAAGAGGTTCATAAATTATTGATACATAGCAATGATACTTCAATTTTTGCTACTGATAATGACGGACGTACACCACTTCATTATGCTTGTGAAGGGGATGACAAAAGAATTGTCCAGTTTCTTATTCTGAAGTGTGCTGGTTGCCTCGTGTCTGATTTGAATGAAATTGAAGAAGTTAAAATACCTAATGATCCTGATGTTCAGTCTAAAGTTAAAGGGTATATCAATTGCACTGATACTCTTAAAGTAAGAGGCAATTATCATTATTATTATTATTATTATTATTATTATTATTATTATTATTATTATTATTATTATTATTATCATTATTATTATTATCATCATCATCATCATTATTATTATTATTATTATGAAACAAGAGCAAAACCAAGCACAAACAAAAACCAAAGACCTATTATTCAGGGGCGTATCTGAGGGGGGCCTATAGGGGCCTGGGCCCCCCCCATCAATTGTTGTAGATAATAATATTCATTGTTTGTTTTATTACCTACCGCCTAGTAATATAAATTAACCACCTTGTAACAGCAGTAAATGTACAAGAAATGAAAAGTAGGCAGAAACAAAACATTCATTTCATTGTTGAAAATGTAAGATTTTGATGCTTTAAAATATGCAAAATGCTATTTTAGTGCACTATATGAGCGCTAAAAAGGGGTGTGGCCAAATTTTCAGCGCACTTCGCACGCCATTTATCTCTGGGCCCCCATCATTTCCTTCCCAGCTACGCCCCTGCTATTATTATTATTATTATGAACACACACACACAGCTTGCGAAAGCAAGCCAGAAGTCACAAAAATTATCGGTTCACAACAAGTAAACATAGATAATAATTAGTTATTCTACCATGCTTGTTTTGAATTGACCAATCAGATTGCATTATATGAGGTGTCTAAATCACTTATAATACCCCGGGAAAATATTTAGAAACCTCCGGGAAATTATTTAAATACTTCTGCCAAAGTTTGGGAAATTTTAGGAATAAAAATATTAGGTATATTTTTAGGTATATCATCACTAGCTACTGCTGTTTTTGTTTGTAATAATAATATTATTGAGGAAACGTCTTCAACGTTCAAACTTCAAACGTTCATCAACACCAGCTTGAAATAGTCTAGTAGCAGCAGTCACGCCGCGAAGTGAGTGGTTTGTTTGTAACCATCGATTCCCCAGTTGCTGCAGCAAACATTTTAAACAGTATATATTTCTCCATTAAGAAGAGTGATCTGGTTGGAGCTTCTCCAAATCTTTCATTCTTTCCTTGCACCAGTCATTCAGAATATTTTCTACCCATTGTATTGCTTTTTTAGTTGTGCATGGCGCACAGTGCTGTTGTGCATCTTTAAATCCTTGTCCGTTGCGAAACAAGATGGTATAGCACTAATGAAGTAGGCGGGGCAGTCATAAAATGATGAGATAGGCGTTTCCAGAGCTATCAATGGCGGCTGTGTTAGTCGCATCTTTTGAGAACAGACGAGCATGTCTACCTAGTTGCTTTTCCATTCTAGTGCGTGACTTAAAATGAATTGGTTGCTAATGGTAAGGATTTTTATACTTTTTGTGTATCCTAGCTACAAGAAATGCTTCTACCATGCCTAGTTGTAATTGACCAATCAGATTGCTTGGTTGTAGGTTCATAAATAACTAACTTACCTCTGATTTCCCGGAAGGTTGAATAAGTAGCCCGGGAGGTTGAATAAGTAAATTCCCCGGGAGATTGAATAAATAATTTGCTAACTGTTGCTAAGTAAACTGTTTATTTTAGTACATGGTAGAAGTTGGTTATACAACTCTGTGTCAGTATCTATGGCCTTATCATACCTCGGGCCTGCGGCCCTCGGTATGATAAATGCCATAGATACCTCCACCTCGTTGTATAACCTTTACTTATTATTATTATTATTATTATTTAGGATACACCACTTAATATTGCCTGTTTTAAAGGACATACAGAAATAGTTAAACTACTACTGGAGCATGGAGCTGATTTTAATGTCACTAATAATAAGGGACAGGGAGTAAGAGAAATAGCATTGACACAATGACATAGTATTATTATTGCTATGTAGTGTACACCACTTGCTAGTGCCTGTATAGAAGGACATACAGAAATAGTTAAACTACTACTGGAGCATGGAGCTAATGTCAATATCACTAATAATAAAGCAGTAAGAGAAATAGCATTGACATAGTATTGTTGTTATTATTACTACATGATGTAGCGTACACCACTTGGTATTGCCTGTGTACAAGGGCATACGGAAGTAGTTAAACTACTACTGAAGCATAAAGCTGATTTCAATGATGTCACTGATGATAATGGAGTAAGAGAAATAGTATTGACATTACTAGTCTATTATAATTATGTAGAATACACCACTTAGTAATGCCTGTAAACCAGGACATATGGAAATAGTTGAACTACTACTGGAGCATGGAGCTAATTCCAATGTCACTAATAATAAGGGAGTAAGAGAAATAGTATTGACAATTATATACGTGTAGTATACACCACTTAGTATTGCCTGTTATAAAGGACATACAGAAATAGTGAAACTACTATTAGAGCAAAAAGATACTGATGTTACTATATGTAATAAAAGCAATAGCAATGTTCTAGATGTTGCTGTAATCCATGGACAGAAGTTAGTATTATGATTCATTGATTATGTTTTTGTCATACAGTATGTTTAGTATAAGTTATTTCTAATCTAGAGATGCTGCAATGGCTATAGTCAAAAGTGATAAGTGGGAGAATGCATTACGTAGTTATAAAGTTGTGAATAGAATTAATGATGTTGGAATACTTAGGAGGACATTACATTTAATCATATTAATCATATGTTGTTGTTGCATAAGGAAGCAAAAGCAAAAGTAAATTAAACTTCTAGTCAGGCTTGGGGCGAGTACTTTGGTACTTGTACTTAAGCATGCTTAAGCACAAGTTTGAAAGTACTCGGTATTTACTCAAGTACTTTTGAACAAAAATTACAAATACTCGTACTGTACTTAAATACTAGTATGTTTTTAGTGCTTACAAGTACTTTGAAGTACATTTTTAGATGCAATGCTAATGTGTTGATATAATAAATACTAGCTAGTGTAAACCACATATATTTACCTCCTGTGGGTCCCATACTATGACACTGGTCAGTTTGGATTTGAAAAGTTCATAAGATGTAATAACCATCTGATTTAATTTATTAATTTAAAAATTAACTTATTAATTATTTGGGTGTGGTCAAGTGCTTAAGTAGTACTTAAGCACTGCAATAGAGTACTCGTACTCATACTGAATACAATTGTAAAAATGAGGGATTTGTACTCGTACTCATTTTAAAAATCTAACAGGTACTTGTAATGTACTTAAATACTTTTTAAAGTACTTCGCCCCAAGCCTGCTTCTAGTGAATTACAGTGATGTCTCTAATGACAGTCATGATTATGGAAATAAAGTTAAACCCGTAAAACATTTCACAACACCAATGAGAAGGATAATAAAGAAGATGCCAGGTTAATATACATTATGATATGAGTAATATGTTCTATATTACACAGTTCATCATTAATTTTATTCCTGTTTAGATGTAGCTAAAGTTGTTTTTGATCGCTGCTGTGAGACAAAAAAATCACCATATGATGAAGGTTATGAGATTACTTATAATTATGAATTTATTGAGGATTTTGATCTGTAAGAATAATACTAAATAAATGATTCTGTTATTTGTACTACCTGGTATATGTAATGACAGACAGACACTAGAAGGAGATCGGTCTAGTGACTCAACTATGCAAAACGTGAATGAGGATAATGATGATCAGTCTGATGCTAAGAGATCAGATAAAAAATGGCCTCCAAAAGCAAAACACTCTAGTCAAAATCATTGTCTTACTATTCTTGTGAGTCATTATTAATTAATAATAATTAGTTAGAGCAATATTATTATTATTCATAGGCTAATTCACCAAGTGCAGATTTATTAAAGCATCCATTGGCTGCTACACTTCTTGATCAAAAATGGAATAAATATGGACGAATAGTCTATTACACTAATTTGATATTTTATTTTTTATTTGTCATTTTACTGACATCATATGCTCTCACTGTCCATCCTCCAAATTCAAACATATGTAAGCTATTGTAAGTAGTTTATTAATTGTACTATTCATAATAGGTTTGGAGGTATTTGGAAATGATACTGAAACAGTTATTGAAGGATCTGGAAATTACGCTTACTCAGTTATTGGTTGCTCAGGTAAGTGATTATATTCATGTGATCATCATGTGACTATCATTTGTGTTTAGAGGGACGCTTTACATATGTCTCTATTGTTCGTGCATTTATGATTGTTTATCCTATAGTCATGTTACTACGGGAATTAGCTCAGGTCATTCAGCTCAGCTTAGAGTATTTTACCAGTTTTGTTAACTTCATTGAAGTCTCACTGTTTATTTCTACAATAATATTTGCATCAGTACGTAGTGACCAGTGCTATTGTACTCGTCCATGGCAGTGGCAGGTTGGAGTGATTGCTGTATTCCTCAGTTGGATTGCACTCATAGTATCTATAAGGAAGCTACCAGTAGTTGGAATATATGTGGTCATGTTTATTAAGATTTTTAACAACTTTATCAAGGTTGTCATCCTTGCCTTACTATTAATCTCAGCCTTTGCAATTCCTTTTTATATGATGTTTTATGATCCTCAAGATAGAACAGAAGGAATTGTAAGATTTACTAAAATCCAAAAGTATCACCTCTCTTCTCTTTTTATAGCGTACTCCATTTATCACTCCATGGAGGACAATTATTAAAACAATAACAATGACAATGGGAGAATATGAAATGGATTCAATATTGCGACAGAATAATCAAAGGATTGACCCTGATGTACAGTATCCTGTGGTTACATTTTCATTAATAATTGTGTTTGTGGTATTAATGCCAATTCTATTCCTTAATTTATTGGTATGTTTATAGAATATTAATTCCGCTCTTTGACCAACTCATTTTATATAGACCAGTTTAGCTGTTGGTGACACTGAAGAAATACGAAAATCAGCTGATGCATACAGACGCACTCTGAGGGTAAGAACTAAGAACTGATTATTATACAATGTTATAACTGCTTACAGGTTGATTTTACACTACCTACTGAAGATTTTCTAAGAAGTATTGCAAGAAAACTTCCAGAAAAATTGAAAAATGTGAAGTCGTGGATAAAGAGTCTAGTCACAGTTGAACAAAAACATAAAGTAAATCCAAACAAGAAAAAGAAAGGCATAGCAAGTGCTATTAGTAAGATTGAAGAATATTTTTCAACTGACACTGAGGTAAGTGATAAACAGCCAATAAACCTGCATGTATTGTATTATTTCAATTCAGGAAAATGTAGATGAAGTGAAGAATAAGAGCAAACCATTATCTGAGGAAATGAAGGACCTACGCAGTGCAATGGATCAGTTGTTAGCTATTGCTGAATGTATGAGAAAAGAAATGCAAGGAGAAAGAGGAGGAGGATTAGCAGGGGAAGGAGAAGTAAGAGGATTACAGGAGCAAACTAGAAGAAAGAAGAGTGATAAAGAATAAAGATTTGAATAAAATTTAAATTTTATTGTGTGACATTATACTAGATTCATAATGTTGATTGAACCTCTTCTTTATTTTATTTTTGTGTGTCCCTTTTCACTCACTTTATAGGTAGCTTGTTTTGTGCGTCCTTTTTTGCTAACATTTATCATAAATATGCATTTATGCTATTAGTGAAAATCATGGAAATACCCACGTGACTACACGTGATCTATTATAATTATAAGTTAAATTAATGGATTGAAGGTGTGGCATTACTGGCAGCTCGCTTGCAAACTATCGAGATGAAGATATTGGTTCAAAGAGTAACATCAGCGAGCGTCACTGGTGAGTGAGCTTTTCACCTCTTATGATTTATATTTTATACATGTAGTTGATGGGAAGGTTATAAGTTCTATTGGGAAAGGAGTTTGTGTTTTACTGGGAATATCACGTAAAGATACATCTCAAGAGCTAGAATGGACGTATGCAATAAATTTACAATAGTGAAAGAGCTGTCTCAGTTTTTGTTGTGTTGGGAACTGACGAGATGAGGGACAAGCTAAAGTGCTAAACAAAAGAATACACAATGACCACTCCCATTGCAATTTTTATATGGCCTGGGTCATTGGCGGCGGAACAGGGGAGCTGAGGGGCTAAAGCCCCCTCCCAATCTTGAAACAGAAGGGGTAGAGCCCCCCAAGAATTCTCTGCAACCTTGAATAAAACTAACTTTTATCAGTAAAACTAGACCTGCAGTCATCATTTCTTCATTTTATTCAGAGAAAAAGACAAAAAACCAGTCTAAACCCAACAACAAAAAATAGTAGCCGTTTTTGCATAAGACCACACCCATTTTAATGAAATTATTGGTGTTCAGCCCCCCAAAATAAATTATGTTCCGCCGCCTATGGCCTGGGTGCGGGTGCTAGGTCTAGTAATTCCACCACTCTTAATTTTGGAAAGGTGCTGGGTGCTGCTGGTTGAGTAATTAAAAAAAGAGTTCCAAATAGCAGTTCGATTTGTCCGTTTAGCAATTTACAATTACAGTACAAAATCAATTTTTTTTCTGATTGATAGGGTTCGTAAGCTTCTAAACTTAAGAATATTTCAAGACCCTGGTACTAATAAGCAATGGGAGAAAAGTGTTGTTGATCTGGGACTAGAAATTTTGTGTGTGAGCCAGGTAATGCAACTTAATAAATATTAATTTATGAAAGATAATTTTTTTGTTTTTAGTTTACATTGTGTCATGTGCTAAAAGGGAATAAGCCAGATTTCCATAATGCCATGAAAGCAGAACATTCCTCTGAAATGTATCGGGAATTTCTTGCATTACTTGGATCTAATTATAATCCAGATTTAATTAAAGGTCATTACATAGACTTAATTGTTTGCAATACTAAAAATGGCTTTTATCTTATAGGTGGTGAATTTGGTGCTTACATGAATGTACGAATTGAAAATGATGGACCTGTTACTCTTGACATAGAATCACCTTCATTTCCACCACCAAAAGAAGTAAGAAAAATTTACTTTATGCAGCAAGAGGAATAGCATCGTATACAGTGTCAAATTTTCGTCAAGAAAATTTTTGTTAAAATCTTTTTTTCTCTAGTATTTTCAACTATTAGTCCGTAAAAATTTTATCATTTTATCCACAATCCACATGCATGTACTATAAAATGTGGAAGTACAGGATTTCCCACAAAGCTATACAATGTACATGTAAGCTAAACAGCAAGCTTCATGAGCTGACAAGCACTACAATGCAGTACATGTTATTGGAGCATCTTTAAAAATTCAAAAAAATACAATTTTCTCTTCTAGTTATTTTGACAAAATTCGACCAAAGGGTGTTCAGCCCAATTTTTGAGCATTTTCATAATAATTGTAAAGTCCAAATTTGATCTGAATCAGCTCAAAGTTAATACACGACATAAGGACATGTATATGCATCTGAAAAAATTATAAAAATGGATAATTCTCTCCTTGCCATTTTTGACCAAAGGCTTTGGTCATTGGACCAATTTTGGAGCAACTTCAAAAAAATTAATCCAATTTTGATCACGATCAGCTCAAATTTTCTAGACAACTAACATGTATAATAGGAAAAAATAAATTCTTTCCTAGTAATTTTTGTCAAAATATCCTGTGCTAAATTAACAGGGTCATTGGCCCCAACTTTTGAGCAATTATATACTGACAAGAAATTGCATGAGTACTATGCCAAAATCCTGCTGGAAACATTCATCAATCAAAACAACCTTTGGAAATGTGTATGATGATAATTTGAATCCAGCAGTTATACACAAGATTCAAAATACTACATGTATGTATTTACATGAACATTTTACACCACAGAGAAAACCACAAGGTTCAAGTGCGTCGCAAGAGAAAGACAAGGCAAATGAAGAACACAAACAAACAGATGACAGTTAGAAATTAAAATGACATAAATTAAATTAATTGGAAGAAATGTTATTGATAACTTTAGCAACTTTGCGTTTTTCACGTTTACCAGTCACAGAGCACTGGTACTCACACCAGCTAACAGGAATCATGCGACCACCATGACACAATTTCCTAGCTAAGATCACTCCTAATTCACTCTCTGCTGTTGTCAGTACGTAAGCTTGTCCTTCTCCTAAACCCAGAACTCGAGCTTGCACAATGTCGCAAGGTCTGAAACTTTGAAAAAGAGATACTTTGTCCTTCTCAGATGCTCTGACTTCCTCTCTTCTAATAATACCCATCAGTGGTTCCTTAAGGACTTGAGAGCCAACAGAAATTATTTCAACTTTAGCAGATATCTGACTAACAGAAAGTACACGACATAATACTATGTTTCCTTTCTCTGGACACATGAATGGAGGGACCAATGGCTTGACAGTACTCTTGCTATCAGTCACTTTTCCACAGATGCTCGAGTATGTTCCACCATCCCGTACATAGACACCTGTTCTGTTGTTAGCGGAGTCACTATTCGGAGGCAGTTTATCACCAGGAAGTACAAAAGGAGTTGAAGTCAATGGCGTGTCTTTACTAGTCACAGCCATGTTTGTCCACGTGATCAAAAATACGGATGTTTACGGAAATTTACAGCTGAGCAGAATGTTGTCATGGCAACAAACTTAAGGTTTGATGGCGACTCGTACAGTGGAGGAAGGCACACCACGACATTACCCTTGGTAACTGAACAACCATACTAAAAACTAACCAACCTGATGTATAGGTATAAAGAGCGACTTCAGTGGAAATATTTAGCTAACCAACAAAGGCAGCTAAACACTCTCACTTCTCACAGATGGCGTTTCTTATCTTCAAGCTGCAGTAACGATGCTAAGTTCCAAAAGAAGGTACAGGGAAATTTAAGGTTTATTGTACTCAGTTGTGTACGTGTGACATGTCAAATTAATTTCCATTATAGTTTAGCAACCAAAACATGAGTAGCATGCAATGTAGATTGACCATTATGTTTCTTAACATAATATCATACTGAATTCTGCTGTAGATATAAATTTTTGTGTGTTTATTCTAATAGAAACCACCACTGAAACTTCCATTGATTGACCCAGATGTTTCATCACTCACCTGTATCAAAACACCCTATGATCCTGATGCTGTCAGATTAGTTAAAGATCCTTCCCAATATAGCAAGCAAGTATAGCATGCATTTACTTTTTCTTCATCAAAATTATACATGAGCTTTGTGATTTATTCAAGTGAATGTGTATACGCATACTTATTATGTACCATGTGTACAGGACAAATCCTGGGCAGAAAGCAAGACGGGACAGAATAGAAAACATTGAAAAAGATTTGATTGAAGAGTATAACAGGCAAAGAATGTCAAGTGATGAAGATGATGTTTTTCCATTACCAATTGATCCATTTGTCAGAGTAAGTCATATTACCATTGATGCAAACTTTTTTACTTTAAGTACATGTATGTGTATTATGCTACCTGTATGCAGAAATTTTTATTTTCTGCATGGGATTAAATTTGATTGTATGTACACTTAATAGACCCACTGTCTTTGACCATTTACTTGAAAGCTCAAAATTGAGTACATATACATGTACATGTATGTATGTACAAAATACACATGTATAGACATATGCATGTACTTTATACTTTGTGCTGTTTGTGAATCAATACCGTATAGCTGGAAATTTTGGAGGGGATTAAATTTGACGAATTTGGCGTTTTAATAACCATTCGCCAAAATACAAATCTGCCATTTTGAGCCGTTATACGCATGCTCAATGGCATGTGACCACAAATTCGCCAAATAAAAAATCAGCCAATCACCAAAGTTTAGCAATTCGCCAAATTTTAGCCCCTCCAAAATTTCCCGCTATACAGTATATACATGTACAATGTACCTTCAAATGTGCATAAGTTTAAAGTATATGTAGTGATGATTAATTGTGATTGCAATCAGTTCAACCATGCTGCACGACCACAACAAAAGAACATGCACCAAAAATAACAAGAAAAAAATCCTTTATTTACATGTACATGTGTATAATTTTTCTGTTACATATTCTTATCTTGTGTATCAATTTGAACTGATTTTGATCTAAATAGATTTTTTAATAAATAATTTTAAAAATTAATCTAAATCTATGTACATATACATGTACATGTACTATTGTAGTGCTTGTCAGATGTAGCATTACTTTTAGCTCACTTCGCATTCTTTGTGGTAACCTTGATACTCTAGTATAATACTTGGTGCCATAATCAATAAAAGCAATTAAATGCACATAACTTCAATGATTAATGTGATGTATTTACTGTATTATACCGGTAGGTGACTGATACTGATACTGTCTCGCTCTCATCAGATGATAAGATTGATAATGATTCAGACGGTGACTCTCAACAGCAAAAGTTAGTGTATATGATTGAGTCATATATTATACATGTATACAACATGTACATATACATGTATATCTACATGTTTTAAGTGTCACATAAGGATATACACGTTTTAAGGTGTATCAGCTTTTAACAATACCATTTGATTTATTGCCAGTGAAATTTTAAAAAAAATTGACTAAATTAATTTGGTACATGTACATGTACATGTTGATTGGCTCGCTTTTCTAAAAATTAATTTGTCCATGCCAAAAAATTTCACTACATGATAATGATACTGATTTTATGAAAACAGTAAAATGTGTTGCATTATATGCTTGTTGGATGCTTTGCATCATTATAAATGATAAGATATGACTGTTTGCTTCACCTTTTGGATTTGACAAAAGTGAACCAGTTGGCAGACAAAAATAATGTTGGCTTTGGCATTGCTAAAAGTCAAGAAAGAAATGCAGTAAAATTACCAAAGTATCCAAGAACATGCATGCACTAAGTTCTAAGCTCTTACAGCATCGACATGTACATGTACATGTACATGTAAAATAAGAAAATCTAGCTTTGGGCATCTGCTACATCAAAAATATTAACATTCTAATCCTACATGTACACAACATTTGAACAAGCACTATAACTGTACATTGCATGTGTATTAGAAAATATATTAAAAATAACAAAAATTCTCTCGTAGACATTAAAAAATACACAGTATATACATGTTGTTTATTGCTTTATATTGTACATGTAGTTCCCTACCTCAGGACAAGATATACAGATGGCCTTTATTGAAGAGCAAAGAAGAAAAGGCAGAGGAAGAGCTAGAATTAGCTAGGAAACGTGCTGTTTCTCCAACCCAAGAAGCACAAGTTAATAGTGTCACTCATGAACTAATAGAATGGTCAAAGAATTTGGTAATACAATAATGCATACATACAGTATATTTATATGTACCTTTTCATGTACATGTACATTATATTTACAATTATGGACTTATTTTGAATGTAGGGTGATGAAAAGGAGTATATTGATGAAGCAACCATCAAAAGACTATTTGCCAGTGACTACGAAGCTAAAGTAAATCATTATACATGATACATCTAACTGTTATTGTCTTATTGTTTATTTTCAGCCTGTCCTAACAGCTCCTATACATGTTATTGAGTTAAAGAATATTCCTCACGAGCTTAGAACAGACTCTCGAGGTCACACTGGTTCATCATACAGAGCACTATCAGCCGTTGAAAGGCTAAAATTAATAGTCAGTTGAAGTATTATTATTATATTAATGATTGTACATGTATGTGCATAACACACATACACACATACATGTACACGTAGTACAATGTACATGTATACTTTATTCTATTATGTATGGACATTCTCACATTCATGTATTTAGTAGTGAAACTCAGAAACATTGGATAATTGTATTTACATGTACATGTATGTAGGAATCCTCCCCTCTATCAAAAAGTGTTCGTTATAAGTATGGAGCATGGTACCTGAGTCCTTCACTGTGGAAACTACGTCCATGGAGTGAAGTATGTGACAATAATTATATTAACAACGTACATGTACATGTACATGTAATGAATGTATATTTTCAGTCTAGTGTTGTTTATTTACAATACCTAGTGTACATGTAAAACTAAAAGCAATGCGAAACTAAAATTAATTTCCTGTGTTTAACAATAATGACTAATGAAGCTACTATATTGTTTAAGTACATGTACAGTGTATAGCTAAAACTACTGCAATAAAAAATTACCAGATATTGTTACAGTCAGCTAAGCCTAAGACGTGTAACTTCTGTAGTAGGAGTAAGATAAACATGTGCATGTACATTTAATTGACATGTGTTTCTATTCCTAACTAGAAATAATAAAACACTAATTGTTACTGATTTTAACTTTGCATTTCAAAAAAATTATTACTTATAGCATTAAAACTTCAATATTGTCTGCTACATACTGTACAGTTGCTTGATATAAAGAACTGTGTATATTATTTTGTGTACTAGTTTGGTTATGCCCCAAACTAAATGCACAATGTATAGTGAATATAGTACATGTATACCTATCCAAACATTGTATACCTGATCACTTTATAGCCATTAGAAGATCCTAAAGTTGTCAAGAAGAGGGAAGAGATGGAAACCAGAATGAAGAATGAATCACTTGTAAGTATATACATGTATTTTGAAATGTGAATCTTATGGCACATATGTACAAGTATCGAATAAAAATTATCTGCTTTCCTCTATGCTCTGCTGTAATTTTTTTATACTCAAAGGAACACTGTGTACATGTATATGGCTTACACTAGCATGTACATATACATATGTACATCCACTTTAGTTGCTGAGAGAGAGAGAGGATTAAAATGCCTTGTCAAAATCAATAGTCATTTGCAAATTAATCCTTTAATCATTATTGCTAAATTTAATACTTACATGTACATGTAGTACATGCTATGACCATCTACATGTACATGTACATGTATGTCACTTTGTAAATTATACATATAATGTCAATAGAAAATGTTTGTATTTCAGGATGCAGTTTTATCTGAGACACATGGGGCATTAGCATTCAGAAACTTTATCACAAATAAATATAAAGAAGTCCATCCAGAGGTACATTAAGTACATGTGTGACACACCTTTGTCATAACTATTCTATTACTATAGTTCAAAGGGTTACATGTACCAGCACATAAAAGGAACTGATGACATGATAACCAGCACATTCTCTCCCATTGTTTTGAAATTTTTATCACAAAATGACTGAATTGTAATAATTATTTTGCCAAAGGACATATAATAATAAATAATAATATTAATTCAAACAATGTTATTAATTAAATTGGTACTACTTGGTAGTCTGTAAGTTAATTTCAATAATTTATTAGTCTGACTGGATATATCTGGACTCTTAATTGGTTTGCATTCTTCAAACGGGCTCCATAATTTGAACATAAAAAATCTTACCAGCAATGCAAGGAACACTCCTCCCAGCACATCAATGAAATAATGATGAGTCGAATACATTGCAGCCAGTGCTATCCACACAACATGTGTAAATCCCACTTTCCAACCACCCCACGGATGATTCAGGAACACGACCATCGGTATTGCAACATGTAGTGAGGGAAAGGCACCAAACGTTACGGGAGACTTTGAATATAGTCCGTGAAAAACAGAAACACCCATCAAATTGTCAAGCCTGTGGAAGCCTGCTTCACAAGGCCCAAGATACACAATCTGATGATTTCTGCCATAGACTGCACTGTCAGCATACCATGGAGGAGCAGTGGGGAAGGTCACTTGGACAATGGACGCAAGAAAATTGACCCACCCAGCACACCAAAGGAAAGGATAGACAGCACCGCGGCGGTTCGGGTGTAAAATTAGGAAAAAGGCAAATAGGGCGGGTAGTGGGAAATGGAGAAGGTAGGGGACAGAAGCGAGGAAGTCAAAAATAGGATTTGCTAATTGGGAGAGGACAGAGTGAACCTGTACAAAGAAGATAGTTTTCTCTATCCGCCCGAGTGTATCGATATGAGGGTGAGAGACCTTGTCTAGACCAGTTATTGATCGTATCTCGTTATAAAATCGAAATACGAGTAGGTAGCAGGTAAAGGGAAGGAAAGAGAATACCAGCTTCTTGTATTCTATGGTGGATAGAATATCTCTGATTCGACCTGGAAAATCGCTGCATATTTTTGATAGCATTGCCTGGAAAGTCAGAAGAAAGGAAAATAATTACAATACTGCTAGAACCCTACTTTTATTCTCAATAATAAAACCCACCTTTCTAACTATAATTTCATAATAACTTGAAAAAATCCCTCTACAACTAGACTCCAATAGACTGCAGTGATCAGTGAGCTACAGTGAGATTAGTCAGTCAATAAACCACTTGATAATCAGTAACTTACAGTCTTCTTGTACTTGTACTCATTGATATAAGACATATCAAGAGCAAGAGGGCACCCTACCGATTGATCTCATATTGACATTACCGTGTTTACGTCATGTGCCCCTCCCTAGACCCGCCCATGTGTGCCTCCCATTAGACAACAATGGCTGTGTATGCATGGACAGTTTGTGCTTGCTTATCACTCTTAATAGGCGGATATTACATGAAGAAATCAGGCCTCCTCTTCAAATTGGGTTTTCCTATAGGGTGAGAAGAATGTTGTATTCTTTTCTATGTACTAATTTGATGGGATTTCGAATTTTAGTTATTTTTTGTACGCTAAGACATCTCTTGGCTATTTTTATCATCAAAAACGAGTCAAGAAGAGACCAGCTTCATCGGCACCTCATTCTAAAGTTGAGCCAGTAGCAGTTGATGGTAAGTTGATTGGATTGGGAATTTTGAATGAGCATACGATTTTGTGTTAAGAAAGCAAATTTTACATTATGCGGAATTTAATTTTGGTGGTATAGGCATGAGCTATTGATACACACTCTGTGGGAATTAAATAGTGTTTTTGCAATAATCACTGAATGTCAAGTTACATGTAAATTCTAAACAAATATTTTTAACTATTATGTGAGGTAACATCTTAATATGACTTTTAATTCCAGGTACTAAATTTAGCAATTGTAGCACATGATAGATTTTTCAGATATGAATAATTGCAACTAGGTACATGTAATAGCTACATGTACATGACGTACATGTAATTATTAATTGCACTTATTAATAATTTGCAATTTACCCAAAATTTAAAGTCACTTAAAATAATTTAAAAATAGTTTTTTTTCATTTTGACTCCAGGGATCAGTCAGTTACTATTGTATTTATTAGATAAGTTACTTCTATGCATTTTTACGTAAGATTAACTCTTCTTTTGATATTCATATAGATTCCATCGTTATTTATCCTGTACCATATTTGGAGGACAATTATGCATACTTAGTAGTTAATGAAAAGACTAAACGAGCTGTAGCAGTAGATCCTGCTCATCATGCTGTCTTATTGGTAGGTTGTAGTTTATAATAAAATATTACAATTTTTATATGGTGCATGTAGGGTGCCTTGGAGAAGTATGGTGTGACACTAGTTGGTGTTTTGGTGACGCACAAGCACTGGTGAGTTAGTTATCATTAGCAGTCAGTTTTTAATGCATGATATGAGAGGATTGTGAGTAGTGCTGGGCAACAGTATTGATATATGTGATGGTTGCGATATTAAAAATAGTAGCACTATCACGCAGCACTAATTGTGAGCCCTTTTTGTGTAGACTTTTTGGTAAACAAACTGCAGTATAGAACCCAGCTTTTTATAATGCATGTATGTACAGGTGCATATATTCTTATGTACTGTAATTTTAAGATTTTTCATCAGTCATCACTGTTTTGGCGTATACAAATGTATAAGGAATTTTTTAGCACAATTTAATTTATAAATAATTTAATTACGATGTTTAAGCGAAGCAAATTATTTTTTGTCAAGTTTAGAAAGAGTGTCATAGCATGTAATGCATGGTGAGAAGTTACTAAGATATATGTACATGTACTGCTTACCTACCATTCAGTTGCAATTCAGGACAAATTTAGAGAGCCCTGATGAATTAGAATATGTGTTGTTTGGTGAACAATAATTAAACCACTTTAGGCATTTTTCAGTTTGAGCATTGAATTTTTGCAAAAAATTACAAGTATTGTTTGGATAGATAAGTAAAATTAATGAGTCTATGATTTTGCATGAGTAATAGTCACATATTCATTAGTTTTTGATATTAATTTTGTGATAGGGATCATGCTGGTGGAAATTATGAGCTAAGAAAGACATTTCCTCATGTTCCTATATATGGTGGACGTAAAGATCTACCAGCTGGTACAACTCAGTAAGTGTGCAATCATTAGTGGGTTGGAATTATCAGTATATTGTTTTAGATAAAATTTTTTCATGCATGCCAGCAGACCTGGGGTCAAATTTAAAACCTTAATTACAATTACACATTCATTTACACTCCTTTTATGAAATAGACTTAATTAGAATTTCAAAATTTACAGTAATTATATGCTATTTTGATGTTTTTTGTATGAAACAGAACCATAGCTTACTTTTAAAATGCAGTTTTAAAAATTCACCCAGGGCAGATATCTTGGGACTTAGTTCTTGTTTACAGGTTTTCCCACAAAGTGTACTAAGTGACCTTTTGGAGTATAATTATAATAAATTAAATTTTGATCAGAATCAGTTCAAAATAGACATACATGTACAACATCAGAACAAGTATACGTATCAGAAAGAATTTAAAATTGGAGAATTTCCTCCTAGCCGTTTTAGATAAAATAAATAGGCCCAAGACTGTGTCTTATTAGTAATGCAGTAGCGTTACTAAGTAGAATTCACCCCATAGTACACAGTCTCAGCCTCAGGCCAAATTTTTGAGCAACTTTTAGAATTCATTTTGATCAGAATTAACTCAAGCTACAGATGTATAACATCAGAACATTTACATAATTGAGAATTTTGTCCTAGCAATTTTTCACAAAATATGTGTATATGTATAAAAACCATGATTGAGGCTTTTTAGTGTGTACTGAGCAAGCTAAACAGCACACCCCTTGAGCTTGCAAGCACTATACTGGGAAACTGTGATCGTCACACTTTCAGTTTTACATGTGTACAGTGTATGTACTTATGATCATGTAATGTAGTGATTGACACTTCATTTGTATTGGTTTGGTATTCAGTAGTAATACCCTATGACAACTCAATTTTGATAAAAATTAAATTACAATTAGGATATGTAGTTGTGTACACGTAATTTGTAATTGTCATTGAGCCTCTAATAATCACAATTACAACTGTATTTGACCCCAGGTCTACCTCAAGGTTACTTTTAAATGCGGGTACTATTAATTGCGAATTTTGCGTTTGAGCTAAAAATCGCAATTATTAATACGCACAATTATTAATAATGACTTCATGATGCCATATAACTAATAGTAATAATTACTTAATCCTAATGCCAGCAAAATCTACCTTGTGCTAAAATTGCAAAAATTTAGTACCCGCAATTAAAAGTCACTCTAAGGTATATGTCAGCCTTTAGGTAGTTATTTAGCATTGGGGAAAATGAGCTTTAACTTCTTTATTTAATAATTAATTTGTATATTCATGTTATTTGTGTCATACATGTAGTTCTCATTAGGCTGCACTTTAGTAATAATGTTTTTAACCAAACCATCTTTTGCACAGCACACATACATGTACATGTACATGTATATTAAATAGGTATACATGTGTTAGGCTCAAGGTTGATTCACAAAATTAATGTTGACTTAAGGTCAACATTTACGTAACATGAGAATAGAGATAAAGCTACATACACATGTAGGTTTACATTTGACGAAATGGTCAAAAAGTGTGTGGGCGATTTGACCTTTTGACACAAAAACACTTTGAAGTTGACGCGAAATTGGTTAAATTTTAATTTTGTGTTCATTTGCATTGTTTTTTATGGCGAGTGTAAACCAGTCTTTACTCTCTATTCTTACCTTACGTAAACGGTGGCCATTGGTTTATATAGCACTTCCCATCTTAACATAGCCTTACGTTAAGTTAATTTTGCAGTGTGAATCAGTCTTAAAGCTTGTTGTACATAATTCTGGGGAGAGTGTTGAGTTTACATGTAAAGATAATTGAAAAGCTTTATTGGTCACCAATGAGGCTACATTTAAATGATGTAATTATGTACATGTACATTATTTTATTATAGTTTTGTTGATCCTGGTGTTGATATTTTCATTGAAGAAATGAATTTTCATGCTATTTGGACACCAGGCCACACTGTCGGTATGTTCATAAAAAGTAATTACATGTACATGTATGTTAATGAAAGTTTTAATTTAAGGTCACATTGTGTACTTTCTAAAGTCCACTACACCTCCTTGTCTTTTTAGTGGTGATCACTTATTTATTGGTGGCTGTGGTAAGTACTTGTATATACATGTATGTAATACTATGTATGTCTTATTTGTTAACTTATTGTTAGGGAAAATATTTGAAGATAACCCTGAGGTTATGTTTCAGTCATTGCAAGCTATAAAAGAATTGCCATCTGATACTTTGATATTTCCTGGTAAGTAAAAGCATTATGTACTCTTAGTCTCTTAGGGAGGGGAAAGGTGGAATACAATGTAGCTTAAAGAAAGGTTTTGGCTTTTACAATACATGACGAAATGTACATGTAGGTTTGCATTTCTCCCGAAATGGATTTGCTATTGGTGGTGTCTCTGTTATTTCTGTATCTGTCTAATAGCAGAATTAAAATGTAGCTGTGGTATATGTGTATGTTATAACCTACATATAACATTGGTTACAAATTTTTGTTTGCCAATTATTACGAGTTTTTATTGGAATTACTTACATTTCTTATCTTTTTTATTAGGTCATGAGTACAGCTGGTCAAATTTGCAGTTTGCTCTTATTTTTGATCCACATAATGTTAATGTCCAGGTAATGCTTCTGAAATCATGCTGGTACATGTAATTTTGTGTGTTTAGTTTTCTTGTATTTGCATTTAAAAAACTACATCTTTAGACTTATTTGCAAAAGTCACCTTTTATATTTTTTATACACTATTTAACTACTGTATTCTCATTGTTATTATAGAAGAAATTAGACAATATAAAAAAGTTAAGACTCAAACGCCAGGCAACTGTAAGTAGAGAGCAGTTGGAAAGCAGGGTTGATAGTACTTGGTTGAAAACATTAAAAGTGAATGTTCTTTATGACCTTTTTAGGCTCCTGCTGTTTTATCTGAAGAGCTACAGTATAATCCATTTTTACGTACAGACAGTGTAGCATTGAAAGAGACACTGAAACTGAAAGCTAATGTATCACAAGTGGATGTTCTTAGAAAACTTAGACAAGAGAAAGATAAATTCAAAGCTGCTGCATAACTAAATTAGAATTTTTAAAAGTAAAATTTTGTATTTCTTTGACATAGCTACTAATAATTTTAATATTTAAAAAGCCACTCCCATTAGCTTTACAATGAATATAATTTAGGTCACATTTTGCATACTGAATAAGCTACTGCTACACCTCTTTTTCTATAAGTCAGATATGTTGATGGGTTTAGATCTACTTGGTGATACTTACTTTAATGGCTCTTATTGTAATGATTCCATTAAGGGTGAGCTGGCACATTTGCTACTGGTATTTTGTATTAGTGGAGCTGTTTGTGCTTTCCTTTGTTTTCTTACTATTATTGTTATGATATTCTGTAGACTCTTCACATTGTTAACTCATCGTCTCATAATATACATGCTGCTGGGAATATTCTTTTACTCTTTCATAGTTGCTGCTCAATGCATGAACTACTGGTTGAATATTTGGAAAGGAGAACATGCTGTTGTATGCATTGTGGAATCGTATTTTACTGAATATGCTTGTTGGGTGATGTTGCTGTCAGTTCTTATGGTGACACTTCATTTAACAGTTATGGTACTCTTCCCTAAGTTTCACATCAAGATGGGTAGATTAGAGCCATTTTACATTCTTTTCCCATGGTTATTTCCTTTATTGGTTGCCTGGATACCGTTTGTTCATAACAATTATGGTATATCTGGTTCATGGTGCTGGATAAGACTGTACAACAATAACTGTTCTCTCAACAAAGAAGGAATGATTGAAATGTATGCTGTTTTGTATGGTGAGCTGTTTGTTGGATTAATTTTGAATAACATTGCTCTCATAATCATTTTTGTGACACTGTGTAAACGTGTTTATTGCAATACAACGTGTCCAAATTACAGGAAAACTTTGAAGCAAACCCTCCCATTGGTAATTTATCCAATTTCTTATCAGTTGTTTACCTGGTTTGCAATAGCAAACAGATTAAATCAAGCACTCAATAAAGGAAGTGGTGGAACATGGCTCTTTTATATGCATGCTTTTTTTGGTGCAAGTGGTGGCTTTTTTGCTCCTTTACTCTCATTACTGTACATCCTTTTTCTTCGTAAAACCATTAAAGATAATATCAGGAAGTGGCACTGCTTGAAGTGTTTCTTTGGCCCTAAAACTGAAAGTGAAGCAACCGATACTTCTAGACTGATAAATCCTGATCAACCAGAGCGTGCGTCATCGACAAATACTAATCAACCAAGGGAAAGTGAAATAGAAAGGGAATATGAAATAATAAATTAGCGTACAATGTCTGTAAGCTAATTTTTGATGTTATAATTGATACAATTATTAAGCACATCTATGCTAGTAACCTAGTATCATTTACAATTTTGTGAATTAGGGAACTGTGGCATTTAATTCAGTTTTATTTGCAGGGAGTTTATACCATGATAGTTTGAGTGCCCATTCATATATATTTCAAACATTTTCAGAGGGTGGCGGGGAAAATTCTGTGATGAAGTTAGGGGGTACGGAGATAAGATTTAATTTTTGTGGGCTAGTTTGTAATGCTTTTAAACTTAGATCTAGATCTAGTTCATTAACCACATTGGACACAAATAAGCAGTAAGTTCCAGGGGTGGGGCTGATTCAGTGCTGCTGAGAAAAATGGCGTCAAGTGAGAAGTCTAAAGCAAGTTCTAGTGGTAAAAGTGAAGATAAAAGGACTGATTCTTATTACATTAAAGAACGAGAAAGAATAAAGCGACTGTTTTTAATAGAAGTAGTACTTGCGAATGTTTTTGTCTTCGTTTTTATGTATGGTGGATACTATTGGACAAATTTTATTCCTGTGCCAGCCAGTATGGCCTTTTCTACTCGTATCTCCTACACATTGAGGTGTTCCCTTCCGATGGTACTGGTTCTTGGGTTTGCTGTGATAGCTGTTATTAGGAAAAGAGTCATGAACCCCAAACTGTCCAACCCTCTGAGTGGAAATGACATGATAATGCAAGTGGATAAAAACTTCCTGCAAAACACTTTAGAGCAGTTGTCTCTCTCTTTTCCTACTCTCCTAATAGCTACAGCTTATTTTGATACACCAGAAATGTTGAAGATTATACCTCTTTATTCTTTCACTTTTGTTTTTGGACGTGTTGCGTTTAGGGTTGGATATGGGTTGGGGCCAAAATATCGCTCAATGGGTATAATAACTAATTTAGTTTCGTTTTGGATATTGGTGACGATTGTTGCATACCTGATGTTCGCTAAAGGACTTGTTTATGGACTAGGAGATGTGGTATATCCTCTTGGTAGCACCGTCTCAGGTAGCAAAGAAGAACTTTGAACCAATTGAGTCTTGGCAAATCTTTCTGTTAGTGTTCCTTTTTTATTTTGCTATTTTGACTTTTCTTCCTTTTTTATTTTTTGTGGATGTTTTGCTATTGATTTTATTAAGACTATTTCAGTTTTCTAATAACGACATTGGTCAATGTGAAATATAATCTATAAAGGAGGGATGATTAGACTTTGAGAGCAGTGCTAATAATGTAAATTAAATTTGTGGAGCATCTAGGGCTGAAGTTTTCTGTGAATGGGTGACAAATTGCCTTTGTAATTTGGACGAAGATATAGACTCATTGGCCCTTGATTGAAGAAATGTGTATCAAAATCTTTTTGGACTTACAATAATTGATGGTAGAATATTGTTAATTATTGTAGACTTTATATCCCATTTGTTATTAATTTTAAATAGACCTCTTAGTAATTTTATGCTATATATAATTTGTATACATAAGCTGGTGCATGTATGTGTCTAGTCAGTATAATAACATTAACAGAGTTACTTAGAGCTTTGATACCATCAAAATAATTATAATTATCATTATGTCGTACACAGATACAATTAGTATAATATTTTATGAAAATGAAACTGCTAGTTTTTAGTAGTCAGTCAATGAGTTATCATGTTTTTTGATATAATGAGTTCCTATTTGAGTAAAAATGAAGTCAAACTGTTATTGTATATGATAGTACATTAATAATGTGACAAATTCCTGTACCATGCGTCATTATAATAGGCAATGAAAATAAACTTAGTACAATAGTCTTGTAGTTTCAAAAAAACACAGTATAGCTCTTCTCTATAGAATTGAAAATAAATTCTCTTACTATAACAGTTTATTTGTTATGTCTAATCAATTTAGATTTAGTTGTTAGTACCAGCTTAGTTTTTGATAGTCTAGACAGTAGTTGCCCAAAATTACAGTTGTGTGTACACCTTTGCAGGTATTTTATCATAGACGAATTGCAGCTAAAAATTTTTGGGGTTTAGTTACTCTTTAATCTTGTGTATGATTAATATGGTTATTATGACTGGCCAATCTATAATTGTTATTTTTTATAGTTGTTATGACTAGCCAGTTAAGTTGTTGACTGTGGGGGTTTGATGAAGAGTTATAAATTGCATGTAAAAAAGCCAAAGGTCTAGATCTAGCTCACTTCATTGAATTGCTTTTATTCAGTTGTATAACTTAACAGATGAATATCCAGATGCAAGTTCATCTATTAGTAAGTAAAATATGAAAGATTTAGCTATAGAACATAATTAGTGTCTGCATGCCTATTATTTTAATATTTTGGTAGGTATTATTTTTTTGGACACTTGCTGCTTCCTCTAAAAACAAATTTACTACAATCTATTATGTTGTGAGTAAAATTGAAGACTGTTATTTGATCACAAAGCCTATTGAGTGCCACAATTTGTCCTATTATTGGAACAGTTATTTACCTTCAAACACAACACTTACTTTTTTACAAGGAAAACACACGCTGCCAGGTCATCGCAGCATCACTTTTAAAAATTTTAAGGAACTAGCATTGAGGGGTCAAATAGAATCTGGTAAAAGAAAACCAGAGCTTCATAATATTCTACTCATGTTTCAAAAATGTGACACCATAAAAATTGAAAATTTAAAAATTGATTTTTTAACGCATATTGACAACAAAAATGTGGACATAAATGATGTTTTTGTCACTGGATTAATTCACTCAAAAAGCTGGCCAATTGCTACAAACATTAAGGTACAAAATACAAGCATCCTTACTAAACAAGAACTTAGAGCATCTGTATATTTGATAAATTGTAATGTGCTATTTGATAATGTGACCATATCAAACAATTATACAGATGGTATGTATCTTATTAAAGCAAGCAACTATTCAAGTTTGACTAATGTCAAAATTGTATGTAATGAGTGTCTGGCTATGTTCATTGAAGACTGCAGTGATAACTTTAGTATCATGAACTTGATTATAATTGATGGTCACTTGAAAATGAACAATATTGGAAGTAACATCACTCTTAGAAATATCACAGTAAAAAGAAATAACACTAGACCTAGTACTAACCTTACATCATGCTGTTTATTGGCTATTATTGGGAATAATTCTACTAGCACAAGCCATCACATTAGAATCATTGATATCATAGCAATAGGAGTAACAATTGTCGTGTCCAAAATTGAGAATGACTTGAGTATCACTAATGTCTACACTGATGTTGAATTACAAGTAACAGACAATGGTAACCATATAGATATTATTGACTCATACATGGTTGGTCAGTTGGATGTATCATTCAATGAAAATAACATATCACTTAGAAATATTACAATATCTTACACTAAATTAACAATTAAGAAACTATGGCAGGATTTAGCACTAACAGTACGCTACTGTAGTAGCTATATTAGCATCACAAATTTGAATATATTTGATGGCTTTGCAATTATTACAAACAATCAAAATAATATTCTACTCCAGAATGTCACAATACGTGTGAATAATAATATGTTTAATAAAACAAATTCTAAATTGTTTTTTGATCCTAAATTTGAACTTCAAGATATGAGATTTGCAATACTAGACAACTGTCACAACATAACTTTGGAAAATATTACATTGCTAAATAACACAATGATGGTGAATGGTAATGGCAACAACATTTTTATTTCTAAGATTTACTTAAAGTTCTACCAGCAATCTTATGGAGTGCTTATAGGAAATAACAAAGATAACACGACGCTATCAGATATTATTGCAGATGGATATGCAAGTGTTCATATCTATGAAAATGGTGATTACTTAACCATTAAAAATAAAATAGAAAGTTTTGAGTTTTCTATGGCACGCAACGGCAATAGAATTTTAGTCATAAATGTAACCAGCACAAATAATACAAACCTATACTTTGAATCTAATGGTGACAATATTATTTTACACAATGTCACCATTAAAGGGTATAGTGGTTCGTGTGGATTAGTCTTCCTTTACAACAAACAACATATCACTCTCATCAATGTCACAGTCTCTAAGAGCAGTTGTGGAATATATGCTTATGGATCATGTATTTTACAGTTTCTTGAACATCCCAGCAGATTTATAGACAATGCTTCCCCCAACAATGGTGCTGGAATGCAAATTGGAGGAGGTGTAAGTTTGGTGAGCAATACAGAAGTGTACTTTGTCAATAACACAGCCTATGGTGTTGGAGGGGCCATTTATGTTGATATGGTTGTCTTGGAAATTGAAAAAGTAATTGAATATTGCACATTCCAAAATTTTCAACCAATATTTGTCAACAACAATGCTGTAACAGCTGGAAATGATGTTTACAATGGAAGACTCTGGAAATGTTTAGGAATACATACCTTTAAATCAGTACCAGTTCAAGAAAAAGCTTTATCATTTATGACTGCTGTCAATTGCACCAACAATACTTATCTTAAAAATTTTCAAACTCCTCTTTCTTTACACATCACATCAACTCCTATTGGTGTCTGCTTGTGTACTGATCATAATACTACTGACTGCAATATACGGATCATTAATAAGAAACTGTATCCTGGCCAATACATTACACTACCACTAGTTACTGTTGGAATATGTGGAGGCATTAGTTCAACAATTTTAGTAGTATCTAATACCAGTTCTGTACAAGTGCTACTTAATAGCAGTGACAATCAGGAAACAAAATCAAAGTGTAAAAGTTTCACTTATCAACTTAAAATGGTTGATTGCAACATGCAGGGTACTTTTTTCATTGAAAATAAATTCAACAGCATTGAAAACAAAAATCGTTTAAATGATTCTCATTTGACAGTCAATGTTCTATTTTTGTTGTGTCCAGTTGGTCTTGAATTGATATCAAAAGCCTGTCATTGTAATCATGTCCTCAGAGCTTCAAATGAAATACAATGTAATATCATTTGGATGCCAAATCCTATCAAAAGGTCAGGCAATGTTTGGCTCTACTATGACAATGATTATAATTGTACTGTTTTTCACAAATACTGTCCCTTTGATTATTGCAATGCCTCCTCTTCCTATCTCAGTCTTGAGAATGGAGACACTCAATGTGCATATGGTAGATCAGGTTTTTTATGTGGAGCTTGCCAACCTGGACTTAGTCTTATGCTTGGTTCCAATAAGTGTCAATTGTGTGATAATAACTATCTTTTACTTGTCATTGGTTTTATTCTGGCTGGTATGGCATTAGTAGCATTTTTATTTGTTTGTAACATGACAGTATCAGTTGGTAGTATCAATGGGCTGTTCTTTTATGCTAATATCATCAAGCTCAATGAGACTACATTGTTTCCCAATGATGACACAATACCTGTATTGAGTCAGTTCATTGCTTGGCTTAATCTTGATCTTGGTATTGAAACCTGTTTATTCAATGGACTGAGTGGATATTGGAAATTGTGGCTTGAGTATGCATTTCCTATTTATATTTGGTTTCTTGCAGGGACCATTGCAATTGGCTCTCATTATTCTAGTAGAATATGTCACCTATGTGGCAATAATACAGTGCCTGTTTTAGCTACACTTATTCTAATGTCTTATTCTAAGCTCTTACAAATCATTACAAAGTCTTTGATGAGCTCAAGAATTAACTGTGAAGGTATTGAATTGAAAGTGTGGAGTGTTGATGGCAACATTGATTATTTAAGCACCAAACACATTCCTATGTTTGTGACAGCAGTGTTTTTCCTACTAACTGCTCTAATGTATACAGGACTGGTATTCTCTGCTCAGTGGTTACAGAAATACAGTGGTAAATGTTGCAAGAGCTCTTATGATCCAGTAGTAAAACTGAAGCCATTTATTGATGCTTACAGTGGCCCATATAAGGATAAGTATAGATTTTGGACAGGGTTTTTGCTCATATTACGTCTAGTATTGACACCTGTGTTCTCCTACACTACAAATGCTATACCTCAAGTTAACAATTACGTCATTACTTACATTTCTGCTGTTTCATTGTATTTATCAAGAGGTATTTATCGCTATAATATTTTGAATGCAATAGAGGCATTTTATTTGCTTAATTTAGGTCTATTGACACAATTCCATGTACTCTCAGCTAACATGGGTATGGGTAAAAAGACACTATTTATTGCTACTACAGTGTCAATTAGTTTGTCTTTTACTGCATTTATTGGGTCAGTATTGGTTCATATTTACATCAAATTCCTAATGAAAAAGTGCCTTCTTGTCTACAGTAAAATATTTTCAAAAAAAATGGATGAAGAGGAACAAATTTCAATTCAACAGATTGAAGAAAATCAGTCATACTCACCAGCACATGTCATTACGAGGAGGGAGTCAATGATATTTGATTTCAGTACCGCTGATGAATTATAAAACATGGGTCTATAAATGAGGCAATTAATCTTTTGGTGACATTGTAGAATTGATCAATGCATATTTAAGTAATAGCTTTATTTTATGCAGTAGTGTTATATTTAATGTACATTTTAATTATATGTATTTTCTGCAGCTTCCAAAAAATTTGGCTAAATTTAGTGGCAACCTTTTAAAATTTAATCAATCCTTCAAGGGCAGTGTAACAAGTGCCTATGATTGATCTTCATTATGATTCTTTTGAGAAGTCAATCTTAAAAATATAAAACTTTTAGCACAAAATTGTGCTTGAATAAAAACAATAAAACACACCATGACACCATACAAATACAGTTCAAACATTTGCCTCAGTAAATGAAGCCACCATAGAAGTCTCTATGAATGTGACAGATTTTCTTTCTCCATTTAAAACCTAAAAACATTTTGTATCAATTATGACTATAATAATGTATTCTGTATTATACTGTTTTTCCATCTAGCTGTGATTGTAGCTCCAGAACTTTCTTTTGCAGTTGATCAATCCTCTCTTTATCACTGACTACTGTGAATGCTCCACTTCTTCCAAACTCAATGGAAGACATTGACTGTGAGGTATCACAGTTCTCTCCCTTGGGATCTTTATACAAGTGATACATCTAATTAATAAAAGTTGCATTATAACAATATAAGAATTGAGAATAACAATAGTATTAATGTTGAAAATGGAAAAGCAGCAAATTATGTGATCAGTGACATTGCTGAATTAATGCATCTTTATTTAGACTGATATACTGTGCAATATGAAATGCTAGTGTAATTTTGCTGGTGGTGATATTAGATATAGGTGTATTAACTATCTATAAAAGCTACATCACTTACTTTTGGTGCAAATATGACTAGTAAGATAGTAAAAGCCACAATCAGCAGGCCAGCATCATAAAGCACCTCATGAATATTATTAAAATTAGATAGAGCAAATGATACAATCACTAGCTCTACCAGTACAATGCTAGTTATGTAAATGATAACTGCAACCTCCTTTGAGTCATTAAGTATCTTAATACAAACTTTGCGTGTTTGTATGGCAAGAATGAGAGCTATTATTTGAAGCATTCCAAGATAAATGTAAGGAAAAATGAGCCACACAAAGGACGCTGTAGTGAAGCAATGATACACATAATAATCTAGTGGCACTCCTCTTTCCTAGGAATAGAGATTATTATAAAACAATAAGCTTAGAGCCAGTCTTTAGTCATAAAATTGAGGCAATACAAATATCAATTACATGTAAACTACTCATTAATTCTAGTAGAAATTTTCTATCCAAATTAAAAAGCAGATACTCACATCAAACTTGTTTGAATGCTCCCTATCAGATTCCAATGAAAGTTTCAATCTTGTCTGAGGTACGGCAGATCCAATTATCAGTATAGCAACCATACCAGCAGTTATCAACAGAATTAAACCAATCAAATGCCAGTCAGTGAGTATCTGCATGTGAAAAATGAATTAAATAGATGCAATAATTATGATATGTTACTGTGATAGCACACTTATTGACATGTTTTTATGTTGCATATAGGTTGAAAAGATTTAGAGTTTTTAAAGTTGGTTTAAAATTTGACCAAAGACAAAGGACTACCTACTACCATACAGGTTCATCTACAATATTAGTGCTCAACTGCTCAGCAGAGCTTTGTAAAAACATGATGTATTGTATTTGTCAAAAGTGGCAGAATTTCTTTTTTAAATTTTTTTCTGATACAAATACATGTTCTGATGTTGTATACAGGAACATATACCGGTATTTATAGTTGAGCTGATTCCAATCAAAATTGAATTTTTTTTATGATTCTTAAATTCACTCAGAAATCTGAACCAGACTATGGCTACACAGTCTCGAGTCAAATTTTGTCAAAAATGGCTAGAAGAGAATTCTTCATTTTTTATAATTTTTTTCTGATGCATATGATGTAGTGTGCATAGTTTGAGCTAATTTTCTATGACTTTCTATAAATTTTTAAAATTACTTTATAATGTAAGCCATGCACTTTGATGCAGTGCTTGTTAGTTCATAAGGTGTGCTGGTTAGCTTATTAAGCATGCTTTGTGGGAAACTGTGCTATTGTGTAACTAATAATTTCGGAGGGGGAAACTTAGGCAAATTTGGCCACTTGCACATGCTCAATTACATATTCAACCCTGATCAAAATTTTACCTCTCTAAAATTACCAGCTATATGGCATAATCGATTGAAAAGGATAACAAAAAATTTACTTTTTTGATACATTCACATTTTGATGTCATAAAGAGACTTTGAGTTGATTTAAATTAATTTTTGATCTTTAAAAATTTTTTAAAGTTTTGCCAAATTATTCATTTATAGCACAATGTATATACAAAGTTGCATATACTGTAAAGTAGATTACAATTGACAGTCATGTAATTTTGTACTTTTTTGTTAGGCGAAGGATTATAAAATATGTAATATATTCTCCACATTTTAGACAGGATAGTTCCAAAAGCAATTGTGTATCCGATGAAATCAAGGTACAGTGAAATCTAAATTAATATATTATAAAAATAAATCTCCATTGTGATATAAATCTCACATAGCAAAACAGGAGCCGAGTTTTCTTGAATGTTTTTTCATTGCTGGTATCAAAAGGAAATATTCGTACAAATATCGAGAGAAAGACCATTGAAGTGCCAGCAATTATGAAATAATTAAGATTAGGACTAATAAGCTTGATTAATCTATAAATGCAACACAAAATAAATGATCAAAATTGAAGAAAAAATATTGTGTCTCTTAGGAAACTCACTTCTTATTTCTAAAATAAAAGGTGAATATAAGACAGACAACACAAAATACAAGGCCAGCAAAACTGATTGCATAAAAAATGACAACCAATGAGAGATGAAATGTAGAGACTATCCTAATAGGAGTACCATCTGGTGGAACACCATCTGAGAGGGAAGAGAGAGGGGAATGGAAGACGTAAAAATATTATTTAGATATTATTAAAGTTAGACATTAAGATTACTATTAGAAAATAGAGACATATTATTTCATTTGTAAAATCAAGCAATATGGAATACCTGGAAACAAGGTTGAAGTACTCTGATTGTTCAAATAAATGAATTCGTCTTGAAACCACCTAGCCACCAGCAGTTGCTCATCTATAACAATCATAATTTATGCATGTACATTCAGTCCAGTGTTGTTGTAATCACAAAAGTTACTGTAATCATTACAACTGAATTACTGATGGAACAAATTGTAATCAATACAACAACTCAATTACAATTAAATAAATTACTTTATAATAAAATTTTAACACATGAATATTATTACAGCTGATTGTTTTATTTCAGCCATCATTAATAGGCATGTGCTAAGTTTAATGCCTTTAAGTTATGTGATCATTTTAGTGTACATTTTACACTTAACTATAACATGACACACATGTTAATGGAAAGAAAACACAAGCAGTCAGTCACTAATTTTAGTGAAGTAGTTAATTTTGTAATTACAATTACAAAATTTAAATACGGACACAAAAAAATGCTCCCAAATAATCTTTCTCAGTAGATACTTGAAATTGCATGACGACACATACATGCACTGTACACATGTAGATAGAAGTATAATATCAGATCATGGTTTCCCAGTATAGCTAGTGCTTGCCAGCTCATGAGGTGTGCTTTTTAGCTTGCTCAGTAGAGCTTTGTAGAAATTTCTGATCCAATGCATTTTGTTAAAAATGACTACAAAAAATTCTCCATTTTAATTATCTTTTCTGATACATAACATGTTAGAAATTTTATATCTAATCAAATCAACATTGCTTTTGTATTAGCCAGTGCATCAATGCTTGCTATTTAGCTCACTTAGTGGGAAGCCCTGTATGGTGACAATAAGTTATTACTTCTATGACAGCTGAAGCAACCATGTTTCTGTTTTATGCAAAAACATATCAAAAAGTATTTTTAATTAAAATTACTTTGCATAATCATAACAGTAATTGAATCTATTTAGTGTAACTAAAATGTGTAATTGTAATTGAAGTTTTTTAATTGACCCAATGCAGGTCTGATTATAACTACAAATTACAATTATACCATCATTGTCATATACTATACATGTACATACAATGATATATCAATTATTATTTCCAAAAAGGAACCCACTTAATTTAGACATAAACTTTTATTAGAGAGATCTCTTTATATTAAAGTCACTTACTGTTTTTTATTTGATAAATTCTTGCTGGACTTTTACATCTAATACCATCATCATCAAAGCTAACATTACCCTATAAAATAAAAACAAACATGTATCAATAGTGTAATAATAGTAAATGGTCCATTTGACATGCAGTACAATAGATTCCATTCCTTAAATTTTATTACTACATTTAACATTACTATTACTACAAGTTATAGCTTTGTACATAAAATGGCATATACTTAATGTATTACACAATATGCTGCACTGTATAATTGTGTCAATGTTTGCATGTGTTTGTTACATAGTCTTAACTGTTAATCCCTCAAAACTGGTTCTTCCTAGCTCATATCTTATTAGGCAAGAGGTAGCTGTTATTGTATTATTCCATTCATCTAATGGGGTCAGTGTACCACTACACTCAGGACCTGGGCCTTGACCTCCTGCTATTCTTTTTGCTGTTCTATCAAGAGCAAGTGCTAGTGTCCATGTGGCATCATATGCCATATGTGCTACATAGGATGATAGGATATAACGATATTCTGGATATGATGAATGATTGGCAAGTCTTGAATTATATAATTCATAAAATTCATTGTATGACTAATGAGGAGAAAAGAGAGAGTGAAGTCATGAAAATGTGAATGAGAATTTAGTATACACAACAGTGAAACAAAAGTTATAACAGAAAAAGAGATAAAAGGCAAACTACATGTATGCGAAGTTAGAAATTTTAAAAAATATAGGTAGAGAAATAGTAGTTGTAGTTATTAAAGTAGCAACAATTGTTACAATCATGCACTCTCCAATATTGCAAATAATTATATACTAGACTAGTAATACTATGTAGTTACTGAAATTTTAAAGTAATTGGTATTGTCTATTTATGGTAAACAGTAACTCGATTGATTCACTACACTTACAAGGTAAGCGTGGGAATGGGAGAGAATTAGTAAATATGCATTCTACATCCAATTACTAATACTCCCCTAGATATACTCCAATTCCTAAATATTACATGCATCATTGAGAAGTACATGCATGATAAGCAACTAATAACGTACTCTAATAAAAACAGGTAAACTTACAAGGTTTCCAATGGCAGTCTTTGTTACATTAATATTAATAGGATACTGCTGTATAGTCAGTGCTCCATTGAGTACAGAGTAAAGTTGGTCACTTGTACAAGTGAATGTGTTATTAGGTGTACTATGAGATGGTATATTCCACCACTCATTATTGTACCATCCATACAGTATCCAAGCATATCGTCTTCTATCAGTATATCCTTTTTTATATGCCTATAAAAATACACTTTTGGTACTACAAGAATTATGGCTTTAAAACCTCATACAGTCAAACTGTATACTGCATTTGTATATGATTTTATGCCTTAAAAACTGCATTACTACATAATAATCATATAATGCTTTATGCAACATGTCTTATATAGAACAATTGTGCTAGGCATATCAATTGAGGAAGCCCATAAATAAATAATTTCATTTTTTAGAAAACACAACATACATGTAACTATATTAGTGACTAAAATAACTATAGATCCCATAATACAGTAATCCTTTCCTACTATTCAGTGATTTCATGTAGCAATAATGCAAATATAACTAAATCTACTTGTGAACTACTATAATATTATTGTCACTATAAGCACCTGGTGGTCGAACTACTTCCTTTGAATTGGACAAATTAACATGCTTAGTCACACACAATTAATATCTTAACTTCCTTGTCACATTTCAATGACTACAAGGACATTACATAATCATGATATCATGGTAATACCATCAACATTAATATTAAATTACTAATGTTCTTAGTTTTACTTGGAAGCATTATTTGAAATAATTTTAGGTAGCTACTATATTATTTTCTAAATTACCAGTAGTTTTGTGCATCATATACTTGTTTGGGTAATATTTATCCTACAGCAATATGAAACTGATTGGTGTTAAAACAATAGCATAAACTAGTATACCTGCATGATCGAGGTTGACTAGCTTGCATGCCATAGCTTAATCATAAAAAAATATAATTTTAAACTAATGTGTATGGCAAGGCTATTTCATTTAGTCTTAATGATGGCCACTTCAAAGAAAAGCTATAGACATCATCATCGTACCCTAGTGAATGGTTAATGGTGAAACTGTTAGTTTATTATCGTAATAATAACTAATAACCATACAATGACAAACACACAAAATTGCTTAGGCAGTAAACAACTACATGTAGCTCAGTAAATAAGATAAAAATTACGACAAAAAATAACTGGGTAACTTAACTGTACAGGTAATTTCAATTATATGCCCCTCAATCCCTCTCCATCTCTCTCATTCACTTTCTCATCTCTTACCTCACATATGACTTGTCTTGCTTTTGGCTCCCACATATTTAAGAAAAAAATTCTTCCACTTTCAGGCTAAATGAAAGAAAAAAGAATATTTTCATCACTGCACATGATAATAATTATAACAGCTGAAATGTGAAGACAATAATTGGACTTACAAACAAATTAGGAATATCTGCAGGATCTTCGTCAGACTCAAAATCAATCCTTGTAGCAGCAACAGATTTTGCAGCCAGTAGCTTGAAAAGTGTTTCCTCAGTCTATTTATGCATACACACAATAGTACACAGTAAAGATATATCATTCACAGTAATAATGATATGTGATATAATACTCATGTGTGCAACTACATAATCATCCGTACATTAATTTAGTATGTAAACATAAGCATACTTCAGTGAAAAGTGACACTCTCTCTGTAATAATGACAACTCGACTCCATCCATAATAAGTTATGAGTGATGCTATGGCTGGAATGTAGTTATTCTCTGATGCGTAAATTTGGAAATAATTCCTAAAACGATCACGATCCCTCAGATGGACAGAAGAAGAGGAAAAGGAGACCTGAGAAATAATAATAGTAATTATATTATTACTATTATTGTTATCAACATTATTATTATTATTTTTACTACATGTGTATTATTATTATCACTAGCATAATTATCATTGTAATACAACAACAATAAATATTATTACTTACAAATATTATTAGTGCATTAAATACACAACTGAAATAACTTGTATAATGTTTTAAAGAGTATAGTATACAACACTTTAACATTTTCCAAATCACACTCCTTTAAAAGAAGATAAAACAACACTAGCTGTTTTCATATAGAAAGTGAATGATAATGGTGGGAGAATCATTTGGTAAAGCATGCAAAGATGATATCTTAGGAAAGTGAGAAAGAAAGAACTGGAGATACAGTAAAATGAATTATTCAATATTGCAGCCAGTGATATTAAACACAGTATTGCTAATCCTTCATTATCAAAATGTTTTATAGTTTCTCCTTTACTCATTCATGTATATACAACAAAACTTCATTTTAAAAATGAATAAGCATTATAATGAAACAAAATATTGTATACTGTATAGCATGTTTCTTTTCAGTGTCTTTTGGGGAAAATAATTATCAATTCATGCATGTGTTTCAATTTTTATTATTTAAAGAGGAATATCAATCTACTCTGTATGTATTTAGAATTTCATGTGCTTAATTTTTCTTTGCTGGGAGCTTAGAAAAATCAAAGAGCAAAGTTTGATTTGGACAAGGAAAGTCACATTATATAACATTACTGGTAAAAATAATGATGCTAAATTTAGAGCATTCTTTTTCCATCTTTTCTCCACTTACACAAAACAACAAAATATTACTGCTTTACAGTATAATGGTATGTTCAATTTTAACAAGTAGCTTTAAAAAAATTGCTAAAACTCTCCCTCCAAAATCATTAGCTGTTATAGTATCCCTTTTGAACCAAAATTTTAAATGTCAAATAGACGCAAAATTGCCCATCAACAATTTGCAAAAATTTTCTCAGTCCAAAGTAATTTGGTGGTTGTTGGCAATGAAGGCATAATATGAAATTATATGCACACAATTAATTGTATACTAACATGAGATAGACCCCAGAATGGACCAATTTCAGCAACAGGATCTGTAGCAACTGAACAGCCTGATCCTATTACCGCAAGGAAGTTTGAACATGGAGCAATTCGCTGAGAGAGAAATGCTGAAATTGATGGTGTTCTACGACACTGCAAAGAGAGAAGTATAGAGGTATTTGAACAATAAAAAAAGAAGTAATTATAATTATGCAATGGCAAGGGGCAAGACAATAAGTACACTATAACAGGATAGAATATAAAAGGAAGGGGTCTTTAAGGGGTGAGCCTAAACATGGTCTAAGAAGCAAACTGATGGTTTATATATAGGCTTATAAAGAAATCAGTTACCTGGGAATCAGCTGCATTAGAGTACCTCAGTGTAAAGTTTGCAAGAAGTGAAGAGTTGCTGTTGATCTTTTCTAGAGCTATGTCAACTCCAAGCAAACTGCCGAAAGAATTGTACAGGCTACCATTACTCGCCATGAAGAGAAACTGGAGCTCATCAGGCTGACGACTGCAATTGTGAGCATCATTGGTAATAATAAAGGCCAACAGAAATAGGAGACAAGTATTCATGTTGCTACTAGAGCCTTCGCTTGATTCTCAATCTGACCACTGATAAATCGAGTCACAGTTCATTGATGCATAGATGTTAGAGTAAATTTCATTTAGACTACTCTATTATCTATGATTGATGTGGGCATGCAGACTCCTCCTATTTTTAAGACACGTGCGTTAACATGGCAAGGAACATCTCTTCTAAGTCTTCTTGTATCCCTCAAGGAGCATAGTAAGTCCGTTAAAACCACATTCCCGACTTTTTTGGACTGCTTTTTTAGTTTTTGAGGCTGTACTTGTAAATCTATTTACTCATGTATCGTTCATCTATGATTCATAAAGTCTAGAGGTGGGAAAGTTTGTTGTTATGGTTTCATTATTTTTAAAATTTTCATTATGTCATTGCAGGATTTTCCACATGATTTTGGCATAGTGCTCGCCCAGCTACTTGTTAGTCGAATATAACACTAGGCCTGTACTACAATAGAGGTATTTGACAAATATCACAAGAGAATTTTTTGTTTTTATAGTCTTTGACATGTTTCTATGCTGTACAGAAAAATCCAGCTTATTTTGATCAAATTTAGATTTTTTATGAATTTTTGAAGTTGTTAAAATAATTTCAAAAGGCTAATTTCATCAAAAATAGTTGAAAGAGTATTCTCCATTTTTATAATTTTTGCTGATACATATACTTGTTTTTATGTTGCATAGAAAATTTGTGCTGATTCTGATCAAATTTGAATTAAAAAAAATTTTTTACAGTTACTTAAATCCATGTACTGCTTGTCACCTCATGAAGCATGCTGTTTGGCTCACCTAGCATGCTTTGTAGGAAACCTGAGATATTTAGTTTGATTAGGAGTTACTCATAGTACTCAGAAACATTTTTGTATTTTTTATCTTGTGCATTTATAATTAGGTTATTGTTTCCATTTTTCTAAACGATTTATATTTCAGATTACTAGACAACTCTTGTCACTCTAAGCATTTTTTGGCAGTCTTAGAGATTAAACTGATCTCATCAGTTAATAATAAAGGCTGAGCCCATGAAAGTTTTGAAATATTTACTGTTGTAACCTAGCTGAATTATTTTCATCCAACCTCCTCTTGCCCAGTGGAATTTGCCATGAAATTTGGCATAGTTCGTTATGATTGAATTACTTAAATTTTTGATTTCAGAAGTATAGAATCTACAAATGGATGAGTCCAGTTATTAATTAGGCTGCTCCAATTCTAATTTCCTAACACTCGCCTTCATAGGTCAATGCCACATCACTATTTATTATTGTGAGTAAAACTAAAGTGGTCTCATTATTATGGTGAAATTATTGTATTTTTTGCATTTCAAAGATTTTATAAAAGAACTTGCAGATGCACCATGTGGTTACAAATGTGCAGATTTTTCACAATTCAGTTTTATTTTTCAGAGAGAGCGAAAAGGTGTAATTAATTTTGTAAATAGCCGTTTTTCATTTAGAGCATAGAACAATAATGATAAACAAGAATAACAACTGTAAGAGAGAATGGAAGAGCAAAAATTGCTCAAAAATTAGAACTTTGTTTTTCATGCCTTGCTTACAAAGGATAAGCAAGGGTGTGAAGGTATTTGTAGAAATTATTATATTAACTCTTGCTTTCTTGTCATATCCTATCACAAGAAGTAAGAAGTATAAATAATAGCAAAATTTTCTTACTTATCTTAAACACCCTATAGAACTCTTATGCTCTTACATTTTTGTATGATTATTTGTTTATGTACATAATTATTGTAGTTGTGATTCATTGGCATGCATAACTGAGGCACTGGTGCATGAAGCTTAAGCATAAAAGCACAATTTTTTCTGCTTGTTTCATTCACTGCAATCAGGGTGCTCCTGTTGCAACTATGATGAGCATTTTACTTTTCTCTCTCTTTTTCAATGTGGCATTTGCTCAGCAATGTACCGATGGTACAGTTCGTCTGGTAAAACTTTTTCTTAGTTTTTGTGAAGTAAATTTATTATCTTATAGACCTCTGGTTCTACTTATGGAGCAGTTGAAGTGTGTTTAAATGGTGAGTGGGGCAGCATTTGTCGTGACTTTTGGAACAATGAAGATGCAAGTGTTATTTGTCGTCAGTTAGGATACTCACCCTATGGTAAGCATCTATATAATTATAATGCACTATTGTGATTATTTTAAAACCAATTTTTCAGGTGCCATTGGCTCTTCAACTACATATTACTCATCTCATGCAGCAGCTCATAAGATGATTGATGTTAATTGTACTGGAGCCGAAACTAATATTGTTAACTGTCCCTACAATGGATACAGCAGTTATTCTTGTTCAACGGGTAGAGATGCTAACGTGTTTTGTGGTGGGTTTTGTGGTTTTAAGATTATTGTTATGATTATTTCAACTTATAGCTGTTGGAGTTAGTTCAAGTAGTTGTACTTCAGGAAGTGTCCGTCTAGTTGGAGGATCCAATAAATATCAAGGAAGAGTTGAAGTTTGTGTCAATCAAGCATGGAGTAGTGTCTGTACTTCTAGTGGCTGGAACATGAAAGCTGCTAGAATAGTCTGTCATCAAGTTTCAAGCAACCTAAGTATGCTTAATTAGTACTGTACTGATATCAAATTTCTATTTTATAGTCAATGTCAACTATGGGACTGTTAGTGCATTTGGATTTCCTCAAGGCTCAGGAAGAGTTTTAGTGGGGTACTTCAGTTGTGATGGAGATGAAGCTAATTTATTAGAATGTCAACCAAACTACCGCTATATGTATGCTTATGGCTACTGTCAGAATAGTAACTACTATCGTAAGTATTATGATGCTGCTGTCATGTGTGAAGGTGAGTATACATGGTATGACAGTCTCTTTGCATAATTATGTATGCATCACTACATTCAGCTAACTGTACGAATGGAGCAGTAAGATTGAGAGGTGGTAGTGATTCAACTTATGGCAGAGTTGAAGTTTGTGTCAATGGACTATGGGGTACTATTTGTAGTGATTACTGGGACTATGAGGATGCATCAGTTTTATGTAACCAGTTAGGATTCTCACCTTATGGTTAGAAATGCACGTGTCATGAGTCATACCATTGAATCTCTGTACTGTAGGTGCTATTTCGGGCAATGGATATTACACATTTAATTTACCAGTTCATATTCTTGACCTCAATTGTACTGGTAATGAAAGTAGTTTATGGGATTGTCCTTACAATGGAACTGTTGATTTCTTTAACTGTCCATCAAGCCATGATGCAGAAGTCATATGCAGAAGTATGTTATTGTTTTAGTAAATCACATAGATTATAATAGTATTGTTATTATTAACTATTTTTGTAAACATAAGATATTTTTGTGCATAAATTAGCAGCTCATGTTTACACAGTCGTGTCAACATTTCTTTCATGTTTTGCTACATGATTAATTTACCAAAAGATTAACTTCTAATGACTATAATGCACACAATTACATACTCCCCCTTTTAAAATAATGCTGCAATTTTTGAGTCTGCTCTAATTACAGTGATTATGTGGATAAAAAGATATACTGTATATATATGTATGTGTACATGTAGTCATTGTATAGCATATCTGCAGTATCAGTTGCTAAACTGTATGTCTATGTATTTTAAACTAAACTACTGTTAGACAAATAGTGTGGGAGTGCAAAACTGTTGCTAATAAGTTTAAAAGAGAGTGAGAGCATGTTGTATTGATTAGTGCATTTACTTGCTCTTTAGCTCTGGAAACAGTAAAGTGCCGTAATTATGACCATGCACACTCTTCTGGCATTGTGCAAGTGCAGACAGTTTTTGACCATAGAAGTTTTAGCTCATATGCCAACAACTTGTCCTCATGGTTTGGCCTCTCCTAGAACTGCCACTGACTGCTAAGACAATAGATTACTATTAATTTTGTATCATATGAAACTACTTACACGTATATAGGGAAATTATAAGCCATTCCATTTCAGAAATTTAGCTACAAAAAGGACACTTTGGAAGAGTGCAGTCAAAACGATAAAAAATAAAAATGGTTAAGTAACAGAATCACAAGATATTGAAGCATTGTGCTTTATAATGTAAATCCTTGTGCATTTAAGAATTGCCAAGGCATAAGTCTGTATTCTTATGCAAGATCTATGCCTAACAATTCTTGTGTATAAGTAAAATTTTATCATTAAATGTACAATCAATCCTCATGTGATGCATTAATATTTGTTTTTTACAGAGATATTGTTGTTTTCTTGTGCTAAATGCATGTACTGTATTTGCTCGATTAAACGCCCGGGTGTTTATTTCTTAACGGAGAAAAATTCAAGTAAAAAAAAGCCCATAGTAGATTCAAGCCCACGGCCTTCTAGCATTCCAAACTGTACTCCAACAGTTAGAGTATCTGGGACAATCTTAATCCTGAGGCACATATAGTGGCTGAAATATGCGTATCTATAGTTAGAAAATATTTATCTTGGGCGTTTATTTGAGCAGGGCGTTTGTTCGAGCAAATACAGTAATTGCTCTAAATTTTTTGGCAATTAGCAAAAATGCAGGAATGTCTTATATGCAGGGAGTTGTAACTATTAATTATAAGGGCAGTTAAAGATACATGATTTGTTGCTCCACTCCTTCTCCTCCTCTTTCTTTGTAAATATCACTGCTAATTTTTTGGAATGTTTTTGTGTACATTATGAGAGACTATAGTATATACACAGTAGTAATAAATCAAGAACTAATACTGTGATTCCCTGTAACTATACATGTATGAGTTTACTGGGATTCATGAAGAATAATTCTAGACTCCTAGTTTAGTTAGGTTCTTACAAATTGAGTGTATAGTTCTTGATTTATTACTACTGTGTATATACTATAGCCCTCAAACATTTGAACTACAGTAGCATGACGTCATATCATGGAAATTCTCATAGCTTATTTAATTTGTAATTATTATTGTATACTGTCATTTGTTAGCCCTATAATGAAGTTAGTAAGTATTAGAGATTTTTTAGTTTTGTAAGCAATTAACAATGCAAAATTCTCATCTACAAACTTCTATAATTTCACAACAACAAGAGTATTGTTCCTTAATTGGTACATGTAGATACTTAGTGCTAGGGAAAGTCAAGCCTCAATTTTACTTTTTTACTGTAGCCAAGCTTGTGTGGTTTCTTTTTAAAGGAAAGACTTTATGTAAAGTTTAGTGCTCCACATACCTGAAACTTCACTGAATTGACTCACTTTCATTACTTACTAGTCTCACCCTGCCCGGCTAAGATTAATTTTTTACTAGCATCCAATAATGTGACATTAGTTTTACTTCTGCGACAAACGTATTAGTTCACTCCTATTTCCAGGTGTGATTTTATGCATTCTAATTTTTAACTGGAGCATATCTCTGTAGTACATCCCACTCATATTTGCCACTCCATTTTCGTGAATTTAATGCTTTTTGCATATTAATATAATTTTTATGCTATTACATGTGTTTTGCATTGTTAGATGTTACACTTACTCCTGACTCATGCTCCACTGGTGATGTTAGACTTGTTGATGGACCAGTAGAGTCAGCAGGAAGACTTGAGGTGTGTGTTAATCAGAACTGGGGAACAGTGTGCAGTAGAAGCTGGGACAGATCAGATAGTAGAGTTTTGTGTAGGCAGTTAGGATATCAAGATACAGGTGCACACACATAATGCCATCATTATGTCTATGCTGTTATAACAGGGTCAACTTATGGTAGTGGTTTGTATGGTCCAGGCAGTGGACTAATTGCATTTGGTTATCTCTACTGCAATGGTAATGAGGATTCTATTTTTAGTTGCAACAGAAATATATTTTCTGTTGTATCTGGATCATGCACTACTCATCATTATGATGTTGGAGTTACTTGTGATCGTTAGTTACCATTATTATAATTTTAAAATTTTTTATATTTTTATTTGAAATAGCTTTTTGTGATGATGGGTCTGTTCGTTTGGCTCAAGGTCAAAAGGCATCAGTTGGTCGTGTAGAAGTTTGTGTTGATGGCATTTGGCGTACTGTCTGTAGCCAGTACACAACTAATACTGATGCTAGTGTTATTTGCAGTAGCTTTGGATATTCTCCATATGGTAACTAAGGATTGTTGGGCTGTGTAAATTTGAAATAAACTTTTATTAAGCAACTTGTGCAGTAACTACTTTAGTATTATGATATCAGCAATTCAGCATATAGTCATTGTAATGTTTTATAGGAGCAATTAGTCTTCGAGGACACTTCACTGAATACGAAAGGTCTCATTTCATTTTTGATCTGAATTGTATTGGTAATGAGTCAAGTATTTGGAATTGTTCTTATAGCACATCAAGTGATAGTGCATGCAGCAGCTACAATGATGCATCAGTTTACTGTCAAGGTATTGCATATTGTCATTTGCTATTAATTAATTTGTAATTTTATTGTTTAGCTATCAGTACTCTAATGGCAAATTGTACTGATGGTGATGTTAGATTAGTTGGTGGTAGTACACAATACGAAGGAAGAGTTGAAGTGTGTATTAACAAAGCATGGGGGACTATTTGTAGATCTAGTTGGAGCAATTATGATAGTAATGTTGTCTGCAGACAGCTAGGTCACATGGGATTTGGTAAGTGCCTAAAGTAGCATTGTCTTACTTTATATGGCATATATTTTAGGTTCACGTTCATATTCTCGATTTGAACCAGGTGTTGGCCCAGTATTTATGAGTTATGTTGGCTGTTCAGGAAGGGAGACTTCTCTATTGGAATGTTATTATACACAGCCTTTTCAATATTCACATTGTGGACACTCTATTGATGCAGGTGTCATTTGTGAAGGTATTATGATTACTCATAGTGATATAATGATTGATTTTGTTGAACAGCTCCTTGTAAAACTGGAACTGTACGATTGGTAAGTGGGTCAAGCAGTTACTACAGAAGATATGGACGTGTAGAGGTGTGTCTTAAAAATGAGTGGGGAACCATATGTGATGATTTCTGGAATGATGCAGCTGCTTCTGTAGTCTGTAGAATGCTAGGATATTCATCTTATGGTAATAAAAATTTGAAGAAAATGATTGGATCTTAATATTTAGGAGCTAGAGCTTTGAGTAATCAATTTACAGAAGGATACTTAGACATGTACTTAAACTACTTGAATTGTAGTGGTTTGGAAAGTTCTGTGTTTGACTGTCCTTACAATCAATCAATTGATCACTCTTGTAATCAGTATGAAGATGCTTCGGTCATTTGTCAGTGTAAGACAATTTATATTATTATAACAAAAATTTTATAATTGTAAGTAATTTCACATTGTGATAATTTGTGAACTAAGTCATACCACTAATTAATATACCAGGGTAATAAACATGTAACCAATTTAAACTATCGTGGGCACCTTTTTTTCGAGGGCTATAAATTTTGTGGATTTTGCGATTTTTAATAAGATTCACGAAAATTACTTTCACGAAAATCAAATTAATACAGTACAAGATGGCAGACGGCATAAGTTTGCGAAAATTAAATCCACGAAATTTATAGCTCTCAAAAAAAAGGCGCCCTACGGTATGCTCCCTTTGATCAGCACTGTGACTTCAGCAAGTTACTGTAGGTGTCTTTAATAGTTGTATCTACTAGTTTATGTATGTGATGTGTAGCATAGGGGTTTGCTTTAAAAATATATTTTCATGTACTGTATAGTGGAGAAAAGTGCTATTGGAACTGGCCAATTGTGGCCAATATGGTGGTAAGGGATGATAAAATTGCCAAAATTTCTGTTTATAAGTGTTAAATCATTGATGTTATGTGTGCTTTTCTCAATTAGTAAATGATGTACAATATTCAAACTGCACTACTGGTGATATTAGACTGACTGGTGGATCTAATGAATATGAAGGAAGAGTTGAATATTGTCTTAATGGAGTTTGGGGTTCTGTTTGTGATGATAGTTGGGACACTTTGCAAGCAAAAACTGTCTGTCAGCAACTAGGACATAGAGGTGTTGAAATAACTGTTATTTATGTGTATGCCAAATTATTTATGATGGCACTGAAGTATAGGAAGACATGTGCTATATATACATGTACCTTTGTGCAATAGTGCAATTGCATTTTTAAAATTACATTTAGAGTTAACTTAGCAAGTTAAAAATGATGTTCCATTATCCCATATGTGTAGCCATATTATACATATACATGTATAATTCAAATTAGTTCTTGTATTCATTTAACTTGTCTATACTTCTGGCATTTCAGAACTTAAAGTTAACAGCTTAATTTTTTATTGTGTGGTTTCATTGTAGATCTAACTGAATGTGTCATTATTTATAGGCTTTACTTATAAAATAAATTCCTATTTTGGAATTGGATATAAACCAATGGTTGTTTATGACTCCAGATGCTCAACTGGCTCTGTTAACTTTAATAATTGCTATCTAAACTGGATCCCTAACTCATATTGCAACAATTATCATGAAGCTGGTGTCATATGTGAATGTGAGAATCTATTTCCATTTCCTATTATAATGTAAGCACTCTTTAATAGCTAATTCATGTGCTAATGGGCAGGTGAGATTAAAGGATAGTGATTCACAACGTCGGGGTAATGTACAAGTTTGTATTAATGGCACTTGGGGAGAAGTTTGTGGGCAAGGAAATTCTAAAGTTGATGGCAATCTTGCTTTAGTTGTGTGTTCTGAACTAGGATATTCCTCTTATGGTATAAACAGTTCAATTGTGTCTCAATACTTGTTATGCTCATTACAGGTGCCAGAAGTACTGTTGGTACTTGGTACATTCGATACTCTTATCGTTATTACTACTATTATCATTATTATTACCATCGCTCTGTGCTTTATGAGTATAATTTTAAACTCTTTGATGTACAATGTTATGGGAATGAATCAAGTATCCTTGACTGTAAACATGATACAATAGGAACATGCTCCAGTTATTATGCTAGTGGTGTTGTGTGCAGTTATGGTTAGTAAGAATTAAAATTTACATATATAATAGTTTTATAGACACCATTGATGCTCCTGTAAACTGTACTGATGGCAGTATAAGACTGTATGGTGGTTCTAGTACAATGGAGGGTATACTGCATGTTTGTGCTAATGGAGCATGGGTCACAGTGTGTTCAAGTTATTGGGATGACCGAGACAATACTGTAGCTTGTCGTCAACTTGGTTTCTCATCATATAGTAAGAGTTTCCTTTTATTAAATGTAATAATAATTTTTTTTGATGATGTAGAATATGAAACTGACGTAACTAGTACTGATTATCCAGTTATATTTAACTATTTTAACTGTCGTGGATCTGAAAGTACTTTGGGAGAATGTGGCTCTGGGCTAACATCTAATAATTTCTGCACTCATCGTCAAGTAATCAGAATTACTTGTGAAGGTATATCATATTATAACTGAGACAATATCGTTTTTATTTATATTTTTAGACAAATGTACTGAAAATGATGTTCGCCTTCATGGTGGGGACAAATACTATGGATATGTTCAATTCTGTACCAAAGGAGAATGGCGTTCTGTTTGCATTAATCACTGGGATAATAAAGATGCTAGTGTTGTTTGCACACAACTGGGTTACTCACCCTATGGTCAGTGATGAAACTTCAATTTGCTTATATATTTGTACTATAGGAGCACTGGTTGGTCAATCCTGGTGGTACAGTAATTCGTTCTACACTAATGTTCTCAGAGGTGTTAATTGTGTTGGGAATGAGACTAGTCTTCAAGATTGTCCTACAGACAGCAGTGCTAGCTGTGGCTATAGTTATTATCATGCCACTGTCATTTGTCCAGGTCTGATATGATTTTTTTTGAAGTATAATTAGGCTAATCACATTTAATAACAGTTCATGGATCGGCATATTCTAATTGTACTGATGGTGAAGTTAGATTGTTTGGTGGATCTACTGAATATGAAGGAACTGTTGAGATTTGTCGTAATAATGCTTGGGGGACAATATCTTCTAACTGGTATTCTAATAATATTGCTCAAACTGTTTGTAATACACTTGGATTTAAAACACCAGGTTTTACAAGATTTTGTACTATTGCTATTTATTATATTATTGTTAGGTGTATCTTCTGTTCGTAATGCTTATTATGGGGAAGGCAGTGGTCCTATTCTTATGGGAGGTTACATTTCTTGCTGGTCAGGTACTACTTCATTACTGAATTGTTACAATAACCCTTCTGACATTATACACTCAAATTCTCATCACTATGACATTGGTGTCAGATGTGAACGTAAGAATTATAATGATTATAAATTTGGATATTTAAGTTAATTTTGTTGCTATTTTATAGCACCCTGCACTAATGGTGACATCAGACTGCAAGGTAGTAGTAATCCTTTAGTTGGTAGAGTAGAAGTGTGTGTTAATAAGACATGGGGCACCATATGTGATAGAAGATGGGATAATAGTGATGCCACTGTGGCATGCAGACAGCTTGGATTTTCAGATCAAGGTAAATTACTAGCAATAATATATCATATATCCTCAAATCAAAGCTGGGTGCAAATAAACACCAGGTAGCAATAAAATGGAACTATGCATCCACAAAAATAGCCTTAAAATATTAGGCTTCCTGAAGTCTTGTGCGTGAGGTCCCTGGTTTGAATCTCACTGTTGACTCTAATTATATTTTATTTTTTGAATTTTTAAGGTCCAAATGTCATTTTAAGAAATAGACACTTGGACTTTTATATGAGGAAATATGGTACTATAATGAGATGTACAAGATGATTTATTGGCAAGAGTAATATTTGGCAAATTTACCTGTTGAAAGTTAATTGGCGAATTTTATGTTGGTGATTTTGTGCCACAAGCCATTGAGCATGCTCAGATTGAAACAAAATGGCTGATTTTAGAATCGCCAATCGCCAATATTAATTCCTCACCAATAAATCATCTTGTACGGTATATCACTACTTGTAGGAGCCACTGCTGGTCGATCATCATCATATTGGTGGTGGTGGTCATGGCACAGACGGTATAGTGAAGGCGAAAAAGCTTTTCATATAATTGATTTAAGTTGTAAAGGAACAGAGGATAGTGTCTTTGATTGTTCTTATAGTAATGTCCAGTCTTTCTATTGCCATTCACATGATGATGCATATGTAACTTGTGCAGGTATAATTTTATATACATTTGACTGTAATAGTAGTTAAGTTAATCACAACTTTATGTAGCTCCTGATACAAGTGATAATTGTACAGCTGGCGATATCAGATTAGTTGGTGGTCTATCGAAGTATGAAGGTCGTGTTGAAATGTGTTATGGAGGCTCATGGGGCTCAATATGTCCTTCAAGTTGGGATAGGAATGATGCTAAAGTTGTTTGTCAGCAGTTGAACTATTCTATAGCTGGTGAAGACCTAATAATTGTTTTTGTTTGCATGTAGTTGTGCGAATTTATCTAATCTACTTGTACTTCTTTTAGGATCCACTGCTTCAAATTCATATGGTAAAGGTGTTGGGCCAGTACACATTTCTGGTGTTTCTTGTTCTGGGAATGAAACTAGGCTGCTTAATTGTTCTTATTACACTCATTCATGCTCTTATAGCTATGATGCTGGAGTAAAATGTGAAGGTGAATATATGGTTGAAATTTCTTATTATTACAAAATATTTCACTTTAGCTCCATGTACAAATGGTGATGTGCGGTTAAAAGGTAACAGTAGATACACTGATTTTGGTCGTGTTGAAATATGCTTTAACAATACTTGGGGCACTATATGTGATGATTACTGGGACTATGATGATGCTACTGTGGTCTGTAAACAACTAGGATTCTCTCCTTTTGGTAAAATTGATAAAATGAGTTTTGTAGATATCATTTATTCCATTAGGTGCCATACCAAAGAAAGGCTTTTATACAGAGTATATATTTTCTCATAATATTTACAGTATTAATTGCACTGGAACTGAAGATAGCCTTTTTGACTGTCCTTACAGCATGGAAAGTAATGGATCCAAATCAGACTGTTTGGGTCATGAAGATGCTGCTGTGATCTGTCAAGGTATTATGGACAATTTTATCTGATTAAACAACAATCAATTTTGCTAGCTTTAAATACCTTGTCTTCAAATTGCACTAATTTTGATGTCCAGTTGGTTGATGAAGTTAGCCTGAATAAAGGAAAAGTTCAGATATGTATTAATGGAGTGTGGGGCCTTTTATGTAGTAATTCCATTGATAAAAATGATGCTCGAGTTATATGCTCACAGTTGGGGTACTCAACAGGAGGTATGTGTATTGTTATAATTTTCAATTTTAAGATACTTTAGGTAATTTATTGTACAATGGGCAATTGTCTGAAAATGATGTGCTACTTGTTACTGATCTTGGTTGTTCTAGTACCGACACTCTGATCACTCAATGTTCTTTTTCTCATTTTACTGAAACTTCTAATTGTGATGGAAGAAGTGTTGCCTCCATTCATTGTAAAAGTAAAGGAATCAACATTATGTTTTTTTATTTAATAGTGGTAACTAGATTGTACTGATGGGGAAATTAAGATCATTCCATACAGCTCTTACTCAAAACTGATTGGTAGATTAGAAGTGTGTGTTAATGGTGCATGGGGAGTAATATGTAGAGATTTCTTTGATAACAATGATGCTGCTGTTGCCTGTGGACAGTTAGGATACTCATCAGAAGGTATTTTTATTAAAATGCATGACTAGTTTAATCATTAATTTATTTTGTGAAACATTAGGCTCAGTAGCAATCACTGAAAGCTACTATTCTGGCTTAGTAGAAATTGCTATTTTTGATTTAAACTGTACTGGCAGTGAGAAAAATATTTGGGATTGCCCCAGTAATGCTTTAGTAGAGCAGTATACTTGCTCATCTAACTCTTATTATGCTGGAATTGCTTGTCACTGTAAGAAGTTGGAATTTGCCACAGTATATTTACTTTTAATTCATTACATAGCATCATCAGTCAACCTCACAAACTGTACAACTGGTGAGACTAGGCTATCTGATACATTACAAGGCCGTGTTGAACTATGCTATAATAATGTTTGGTATGGAGTTTGTGGAGATAATTACAATGAAATCTCTTCTGTTATTTGTAAAAACGTGGAACACCAAAAAGGTTGCAAATTGTTAACAATTTTATTTATATACATTATGTATAGAAAGTAGAAATGCTTATCAGAGTAATTTTCCTGATCTTTCAAGCTTACCGTTATTTCCATATGAGTTTCGTTGCTGGCAGGGTAATGAAGCTTCATTGTTAGACTGTTCTAAAAGCATTGCAAGTTGTTATAGTAGTAGTAATAACAATGGTGACTATGCTGGAGTAGTCTGTGAAGGTATCATTACATTTTTATTGATATAAAGTCAAATGAATTTTATAGACATTTGTAAAAATGGGTCTGTTCATCTGGGTGGTTCTGGTTATGCATCAATTGGTAGAGTAATGCTTTGTATTAACGGCCATTGGGGAACTGTATGTCGAGACAGTTTTGATGATGAAGATGCTAGTGTTGTATGCAAACAATTGGGCTATTCTTCATATGGTAAGTATGTCAATAATGATATTTAAGGATTTTATTAATATCTAAAGGAACTGTTGTACTTCCCTACAATTCCTATTATGATTATTATGCTCCTGAGTTCATTCATGATTTGAATTGCACTGGTACTGAGGAAAGAGTCTTAGACTGTTTATTCATTGTTAGGGGCTCATATTCATGTAGTCGCTACTCTGATGCAGCTGTAGTTTGTCAAAATCAAAGTAAATTTCATCTTATTTTTACATTTTATATTGGCAGTGTTTTATTTGGTGATGTTTCCATATTAATTGATAGTTTTATTTTGCTGATAAGACAATAGTTCATGCATTAACCATAGCAAATGGCAGTTTAATATTGACAATTTTAATATTAAATCACCAAAATTAATCACTATTGGATTAATTCTATTTTAATTAGCTATAATTGAAACCAATATTGACATTGCATGTTCTGATGGTGATTCTCGTTTGATTGGTGGCATTAATGATGCTGAAGGACGTGTTGAAATGTGTTATAATAATTTCTGGGGGCAAGTTTGTCATAATTCATGGAGTACATCTGATGCTAATGTAGTCTGTAAACAACTTGGACACCAGTCTAAAGGTATGTTTTTGATTTATCATTATCTCAAAAAACTTCTTTTACAGGTGCAATTGCTTTGCATAATAGCTACTTTGGCAATGATCAAGATCCTCATATTATTTCTTATCTTTATTGCAGTGGGTCTGAGTCTTCTCTCCTGGGCTGCAGTAAAGATTTCATTGCAGCTGCTATATCTTGCAGTGATGAAACAGTAGCTGGAGCTATTTGTATAGGTTAGCACTAATTGCTTTGTTAATTTTTAATTATTCATGTACATTTTTGTAGCTATAGATGAATGTAGTAATGGGGCAGTAAGACTAGTTAACCAACATACTGATGCTACAAATGCTGGTAGAGTTGAATTGTGTGTAGAAAATACATGGACTACACTATGTGATCAAAGTTGGGACATTGAAGATGCACAAGTTGTCTGTAGACAGTTGGGGTTCTCTATATATGGTGTGCTTTGTTACCTGCCCATACCCTTTTTATTTATATGCTGGTAGGTACATTACCTGAATATAATTGTTATACAGAAAGTGACCTGTCTTTTGGAATCACTGACCTCAATTGTACTGGTAATGAAGATCACTTGCTTAATTGTTCACACAGTAATGCTGCATTGCACAACTGTCAGTCTCATAGTGATGCCAGTGTTGTATGTCAAAGTACATACCCTAATTCATTGATAATCGAAATATTATGTTTTTACTATTGTAGGAATTATTCATCAAGCTAACTGCACTAATGGTGACGTGAGGCTGGTTGATGGTAGCACAGAAGATGATGGTAGAGTTGAAGTATGTATCACTGAGGCATGGGGAAGCATCTGCTCCTATGGCTGGAATGTGCATGATGCTTTTGTTGTATGCAAGCAATTAGGGTAATTTTAGTCATAGTGTATTATTTATGCTTTGATACTATTACAGTTATATTGGTGGAAGAGTTCAAAGCATCTCCTCTGGAGTTGGTCCTGTTCTTATGTCACATTTATATTGCAATGGAAATGAAGAAACACTTCTTGATTGTTCCCATCAGTCTTGTTACATATCTCAGTGTACTTCATCTGATGCTGGGGTCAGTTGTGAAAGTAAGTGCTAGATTTATAGCTCTAATTTCCTCTTTACATATAGCTTCCTGTACTAATGGAAGCATTAGACTTGACAGTTATACTCGATATCCTAGCCTACCAAAGACTGTAGAAGTCTGCATAAACAGCACATGGCACACAATTTGTAATAGTCATTTTACTAAGACAGAAGCAAGTGTGATTTGTTCACAATTAGGTTACTCTTCATATGGTTAGTATATGCATGTACATGTATGCAGTGTAGGATGAAGTCATATTCTTGTATTATAGGTGCATGGCCAAGCAATAATCAGTACAATTCTGATAATATATGGCCATTTGGAGTTTATGCATTATATTGCAATGGAAATGAAACTAATGTTTTTGATTGTTCATATTCTGTGACCAGTTCTGTTGGCCATAGCTGTTCTAGATGGTCACATCAAGCTTCTGTCAAATGCCAATGTAAGCTAAACTTGTTTAATTTGAACATGTATTGGTTTTACGACATTAGCTAAAACTACTGAATTTGTTGATTGTGCCAATGGTGATCTAAGACTGATTGGAGGACAAACAAAGAATCAAGGAAGTGTACAGATTTGTTACAACAATGCCTGGACATATTTGTGTAGTGGATGGTATTGGGGTACTACTGAAGCTAATGTTGTATGTGGGCAGCTTGGATATCGTTCTTATGGTAGAATATAGTTAGTTATCCTTGTTGTGAGAATCATTTATACATTAGGATCTGTTGCCTATTGGTACAATCGTTTTAATGCACCTCAGGATTCATCATTTGTTTATGGATTCTTTAATTGTTATGGCTCTGAAAAAAAGCTCACCAATTGTCGCATGTATTCATATTGGTTAAGATATTGCTACCCTTCTGATATAGCTAGTGTGTCTTGCCGTGGTAAAGAAATGTTTCTATGATTCCATTTGTACACATCATGCTTTATAGATATTGATGAATGTCAACAGGGCATATCAGGGTGTTCTCAAGTATGTACTAACACGATTGGCAGTTACTTGTGTAGCTGTTATCCTGGATATCAACTGAGTAATGACAGTCACTATTGCATAGGTTTGGATTCACAAGCATTGCACACATAGCTTGATGCATAGTTGAATGTTTATTACTTTAGATATTGATGAATGTGATGAAGAACTTGGTGCCTGCAGTCAAAGTTGTACTAATACTGATGGAAGTTATATATGTAACTGTACTACTGGTTATACATTGAATAATGATGGTCAAACTTGTAATGGTAAATCAGATGTGATTATAAGAATTATTTGCTTAATTCTATGTTTCTAGACATCAATGAGTGTATTGTCGATAATGGTGATTGTGGCAGTATATGTATTAACACGAATGGTAGCTATTTTTGTTCTTGTGAGTCTGGTTTTACTTTAGAAGCCGACCAATATAATTGCACAGGTATGCACTGTCATTAATATATTTTATGCTTGTGGCTACCTTTATATACAGATATCAATGAGTGTCTCACTGATAATGGTGGATGTAGTTATACCTGTATAAATACTCCAGGAAGCTACACATGTGATTGCAGCACTGGTTATAACTATGATCCCATTGAAATGAATTGCTCTGGTAAAAATTTTGACATAGACATTATTGTTTTAAATCATGTTAGACATTAATGAATGTGATATGGCTAATGGTGGTTGCGAGGATATTTGCACAAACACTAATGGAAGTTTTTATTGCTCATGCTCCTCTGGTTTTGAGTTAAAAAATAATGTTTTCTGTTCAGGTACAGAAGTAGCTATTTACTTAACAAATGTGGCTATAATCTTATAGATGTTAATGAGTGCTCACAGAGTGCTTCAAGCTGTGCCCAAGTGTGTATTAATACTGTTGGTAGTTATCAATGTAGTTGTCATGTGGGACATATTTTAGCATCTGATGGTCGTAACTGTGATGCAGGTAACTCTATTGTTGTTAAGTATTAAACATTACTATGATTTAGTTGCTGTTGGAAAGTGCTTAGGAGCAGGTATTTGTAATCAGCAATGTACCAATTCTCCTGGATCAACTGAAGGTTTTATTTGTTCTTGTTATTCTGGATATGTGCTCAGTAATGACAGTCACACATGCATAGGTATACAAATGATTTACAGCTTGTTTGTCAAGTTAATTTTCCCGGTATAGATATTGATGAATGTGATGCTATGAACATAAGTTGTGAACAGACGTGTCACAACAGTCAAGGATCCTATTATTGTTCATGCTTTGATGGCTATGGTTTAGATTCTGATAAATACAACTGCTCAGGTTCGGCTATTGAATAGCTCATTTCATTAAATTTTTTGTTTTTATTTGTTAGACATCAATGAGTGTAATGATGATAATGGGGGCTGTGAGCAAATTTGCACTAATACTATTGGAAGCTACTTGTGTACTTGTAATGTTGGCTATGCACTGACAAATGATAAATTTTGTTCAGGTAACACTTATAATCATAATTGCTATTAATTCTGCTAAAAAGATATCAATGAATGTAGTATTAGCAATGGTGGTTGTGAACAAACCTGTTACAATACTGCGGGAAGCTATTACTGTATGTGTGGTACTGGATTCACTTTAAATGCATACAATAATTGCACAGGTTAATATTTAACATGTTTTTTCAGATTTTTACATTGAATTATATAGACATCAAGGAATGTGATACTAATAATGGAGGTTGTGGCCAGTCTTGTCACAATACATTTGGTAGCTATTACTGTACTTGCAACAACAGCTACTCACTCAATGCTGACTATCATACGTGTGATGGTAAGTATAGATGAAAAGTAAAATGACTTGTTGTATTGAATTAGATATTGATGAGTGTGTCTATGGTACTCATGGTTGTAATCAGAACTGTACTAATACTAATGGATCTTATCTTTGTTACTGTATGACTGGTTATCATCTTATGGACAATCAAAAAATATGCACTGGTAATATCATCAGAAAATATTTTTTATGTTAATTTTTAATAGATACAAATGAGTGTCTTTTGAGTAATGGTGGTTGTTCTCAGTTGTGTACTAATACTATTGGTAGCTATCAGTGTAACTGTAGGAATGGATATCAGCTAAGTGATAATGAAATTGATTGTGATGGTTAGTTATCCATCATTTTTGTATTGTTACTAGATTTTCTATTTCAGATATTAATGAGTGTATTAATGGCACTCATCTATGTGAACACAACTGTTATAATACTAATGGTAGTTATGTCTGTGATTGTGAACCAGGCTACCAATTATCAAATGGACTAACATGTTCTGATATCAATGAATGTGAGGCTAATAATGGAGGCTGTGCTCAAGTGTGTGTTAATCAAGTTGGATCATATTATTGTCAGTGTAACAATGGATATACTCTTGATGATGATGCTCATGGGTGTTCAGGTAAATTATTTTAGATATTATTTTGATCCAATTATAATTATTCAGATCACAATGAATGCTTGAACAATGTTAATGCTTGTGAACAAATCTGTCACAATTCTAACAGTTCTTACTCTTGCTCATGTTTATCAGGATACAGACTAGCTGATAATAATAGAACTTGTGATGGTAGGTATTTGTGTTACTGTTGTATTTATGGTGCGTTCTTTATTAGATATTAATGAGTGTTCTGAAGGACTGTCAAGTTGTAATCAGTTGTGTATTAATACTATTGGAAGTTATGATTGTGATTGTTATGCTGGATTTGATTTGAAAAGTGACAACAAAACATGTCTAGGTATTGAATATTATCATGCATGTAGATTTATCTATTTGGTAGATATCAATGAGTGTACTGATGATAATAGAGGTTGTTCTGATTTATGTACTAACACAATTGGTAGTTATTATTGTTCTTGTAATTCTGGTTACTCACTGAACAGTGACAAGCATAATTGCAGTGGTATGTTTAACTACTGTTGAAAATTTTATAATAATTATTTTTTATTATAGACATCAACGAGTGTTTATCTGATAATGTTTGCATGCATTCTTGTATTAATACACCTGGCAGCTATTATTGTACTTGTGGATCTGGTTATACTTTAAATAATGATACAAACATTTGTCAAGGTAATAGTTGTACATTGTGCTACAGCTGTTGATCCTTTCTTTTAAAGATATTAATGAGTGTGGACTTAATAATGGGGACTGTGAACAGCTGTGTAATAATAGTATTGGAAGTTACTGGTGCTCTTGTCTTACTGGATACACATTAGATGCAAACAATATGAATTGCTCAGGTACACAAATTATAATGAATGTGCTTTTTATTACTGATGAGCAGATATTAATGAGTGTGATACTAACAATGGAGGTTGTGAACAGATTTGTACTAATACTGAATCATCCTATCAGTGTTCTTGTAGTGAAGGATTTAGCTTACATAACTATTTCTTTTGTTCAGGTACTGACTAGAGGTATATAGTTATAAATAATTTCCATACCTTATTAGATATTGATGAATGTACTGATGGTACTGGTAATTGTAGTCATATTTGCTTAAACACAGTTGGCAGCTATACCTGTCAGTGCCGGCTAGGATATGAGCTTGATACTGATAATCATAGTTGTATTGGTAAGTTCATTTAACAAACTATGGCAGAGTACCTGATTCATGAATGTTACTTTTTGGTTGTATGAGCTATTAGGCTGTCATTATTATAACACTTTACAATTTGTGACTCTTATTTTAAACTAGATATCAATGAATGTGATGCTCTGAATGGAGGTTGTGAGCAAACCTGTCAGAATACTGAAGGATCCTATCATTGCTCATGTTTTAATGGATACAGTTTGGATTCTGATCAATACAATTGTTCAGGTAATTTGTAATAACTAATATCTTTTTGTTCATGTATGTTTCTTAATAGACATCAATGAATGTAGTTTCAATAACGGACATTGTGAACACATTTGTGAAAATTCTATTGGAAACTATACATGCTCTTGTAATTCAGGCTATGTGCTAGTAAATGGAAAATTTTGCTCAGGTAGATTAACAATTTAACATATTGTACTGCATTTTAGTTTGGTTATTTTAATAAATTCCATGCACAAAAATAATGTATATAAGTTCAAAACACTTATAATATTTACTAATGTTGTGTTTTAAAATTTTGTATTAATTTAACAACTATATAAATGTTTTATTACACTCTCTTGATGGTTTGTATACTGCTAAAATTTGAATTTGTCCTATAGAAAATGTTTTAAATTTGAAATGATACTCTTTTATATTTTTTCAAGATATTAATGAGTGTAGTATCAACAATGGAGGTTGCAAGCAAACCTGTCACAATACTGCTGGAAGTTATTCTTGTGTTTGTGATATTGGCTTTACTTTAGATACTCATGATAACTGCTTAGGTAAGGAATCTGTATTACTGTAGGTTGCCTTTTTAAGGGCTATAGATTTTGCAGATTTGTATTTTGCTGATTTAATTTTCCATCTGTCATCTTGTACCATAATATTAATTTGATTTTTGCGGAAGTAATTTTCGTGAATCTTTAGAATAATTGTGAAATCCATGAAATTTACAGCCCTTGATAAAAGGCCCTACAGTATTGTTATTATTAAAATATCACAATTTTTTATAGATATTAATGAATGTGACGCTAATAATGGAGGTTGTGACCAGTCTTGTCACAATACATTTGGTAGCTATTACTGTACATGCAACAACAGCTACTCACTCAATGCTGACTATCATACTTGTGATGGTAAGTATAGGTGAAAAATAAAATGACTTGTTGTATTGAATTAGATATTGATGAGTGTGTCTATGGTACTCATGGTTGTAATCAGAACTGTACTAATACTAATGGATCTTATCTTTGTTACTGTATGACTGGTTATCATCTTATGGACAATCAAAAAACATGCACTGGTAATATCATCAGAAAGTATTTGTATGTTCATTTTAATAGATACAAATGAGTGTCTTTTGAGTAATGGTGGTTGTTCTCAGTTGTGTACTAATACTATTGGTAGCTATCAGTGTAACTGTAGAAATGGATATCAACTAAGTGATAATGAACTTGATTGTAATGGTTAGTTATCCATTATTTTTGTATTGTTACTAGATTTTCTATTTCAGATATTAATGAGTGTATTAATGGCACTCATTTATGTGAACACAACTGTTATAATACTAATGGTAGTTATGTCTGTGATTGTGAACCAGGCTACCAATTATCAA